TGAAGGGGCAGAAAGCCTGAGTATAAAAATAGTATTTTGGTGACGAAAAAAGAAGAAAGGCAAAGTTGAATATGTAAAGGGTCAAATCCTCAAAGGAACTGAATGATACATTAATAGGGAAAATTCAAAAAATTAAAACACATGTTAAAGTAACGTGGTTCCTGTATATGTGAAATGACAATGCTTACTGCTATTTTCAGGGGAAAACTCGTGTTCCCCTCTGTGCTTGTCCAGCTCTCTTAATATGTTTACTCAGGACATATAAAAATAAAATTTTGTGTTCAGACTTCTTAGGTGCTCACAGAACTCAAAGGGAAACAGGCCCTTCATATCCCTTCTCTCTCCACTCCGCATACATATAGGGGTTTTGATTCCAAGACAACTGTGGTGTGTTAAAAGCAAACAAGAACAATAGAAGCTGTCACAGCTATTGGAAGCAACAGCACAAAACATTTCACGAGGACTAAATTTAACCCCCATCACCCTGTTCAAGCCTAGCCCAGAGCTGGAAAGAAAGCAGCAGCACGCAGTCACACGTCTGTAGCTTCCTTAACAGTTCCAAACTCTCCACAGTGAATGGGAGTTCCCAGTTCCAGAAACCTTCAATCACACACTGTTAATCTCTTGTAAACGTAACTGTCTCTTACACACAATCCAATTAGGAGAATACCTGTCCAGTTGATTTTTCTATACTATTTCGTCATTAATAACTACACTTAGATTTACGCATCCTTAAGCCAGAGGGCACTTAAACACAAGAATAAGCTTCAGGCACATTTCTGAAGCAGAATACTTGCTTAAATGTGAAAGTAAATACAAGAAAACAGCTGTTTTTGGGGTCGATCAGATAAGCAAACAAATCTTTCTGACATCAAGCAAAAAAGGAGGTTAACAGGAGCCGTAAAATCATCTGGTTACATTTCAGGTGCTACCAGTTCTTTTATCACTTATTCTTACTTCCATATTCTACAACTGCCCAAAGAGCTAACAAAAATACTCCTAAAACTGAAATCATCCAATTAGATTTCCAAATGATGTCAATCTAGAGCTGCTTTCTTCTCAGGTAGAAAGTAATGCACCAGCAAATGCTCATCTCCTTCTAGACACGTCCCAGGGCTGGGATCTCAGTTACAACTAAAGGTACATCCAACAAGCTCCAAATACACAACTTAGGATAGAATGTAGCTTGTGGAAAGGTGAAGCATGTGAGCTTGTAGCTCTGTTCTTAGTATTTTAAACATCTATTTGCTCCAGGAAAGGCTGGAACTTAAACTTTATGCACTGGAAGAGCAAGCAAGAGCGGAAATAAGAAAGTGCTGGACCAGGCACAGCCTTTGCAACTGACTCAGGTCCAACAGCCAGAGACAGAGGCACTTCTGTAGCTGATTCTCAGTCACAGCTTCACCAGAAACAAACTGGCAGCATAGAAGATTAAAAGCAGGGACATCTCACCACAGCCAAAGAAATGGCAGTCTGCTCCTCTTAACTCAGAGCAAGCATCTACTAAAAATAGTTTCATAGACTGTACCACATGGTCTTATAATAATAAAACAATTTTCCTTTGTTCCTACAAGTGCAACCTGCTTCAGCACTACTTCCAGTGCAAGGTGAAACCACACAGCATAAGCTGCTCTTAGAAGATAGCAAAGACCCATTTTCACTTCTATTCAAAGCAAAAGCATCACACCACAGGTAAACTAATCTTTGGACATGAAAACTTGCAGTTTATGTTAGAAAAATATGATGTGCTTCAAAGAAAATCACTGACTTTCAGTACTTTATGTTGCTGGATAGTAAACTCCGCAGCATTAGCAAAAGATGTACTTAAAAGCAGCATTTACTCCACTCCTTCCTTATTAAGAGAATTTGAAACTATAGTGCCACTGCTTATTTCAACAGAAGTTGAACATAAAAATACAGAGTTAATTTACTTCTGTGCCATGTTGCATATGGATTCAGAGGCAACTGGTGGGAAGAAGTTAAAATAGGTGATAAGCCATAGTTAAAACAGTTACAAGATCAAGACTAGTAAGGCTGTCAAAACAAATAAACACTACAGGTTGTTTCAAATGGGCAGTTTACATATCTGAAAAGATTTAAACAAGTATGCCTTGCTACATTAGTACTCTTAGTCATTTTTTGCTGGGCAATGACATTGTCACTTTTAGTTTTTCCTCATATATAGCATCATAGTTCTTGACTGCAATGTACAATCACTTTCTACTGTTGCAATTGAAAGCTTTCTACTAATTCCATTTCTTCACACTGGAAGCTAAGTAATTTTTTTTTAAAGTAATTTTAACCTGGGTTGAAAATCGTGGACATTTACTCACTAATAAATGTGACCTTAAATAAGTAGCATTTAACAGAATACCATGATTATACAACCATAGTGAAAGAATAAATTGCTAACAGTTACTGAAAGGTATAATTTTATTTTTTTTTCCTTACTCACATGGAATGCTATGGCCCTATCCATAGTTAGCCCCACAGCAGAGGATGAGGCAGTCAGCACAGGATCTCACCTTGGTCAACTAGAGTACATTATATTTAATTGCTATGACATGTTTCCCAAATATTGCCAACACATCTTGTGAAAGGAATTTTTCAATTAGCTGCAGAGGGCAGCAGTCTCCTCAGATAAGTATACAGGCAATTTCAGCTTCTTACATTGTTTCAAATGTACACAGAAAACTAGAGTTTCTAAAACATCACTGCGAAGTCACAGAGGTTTATAGTATTAAGCTGCTAATTCACAGCATGGTGCTTTTAAGTTTTGATTGTGCTTGAATGGTTTAATTATCTTTTACTTCACTCTGAATGGTTTGATCTACAGTTCACATGAGCCTACATTACTGCCCCCATTCACACAAGAACCCCTTTGAAGCCAGTGGTATTACCATGTGACTGAGCTGCTCAAGACCTGCAGTACACACACAGTGGTGCTTGTGCAGTCATGTGCTGTAGGGGAGGAACCATCTTTTGACTTGAGTCTGTGCATTTCACAGCACCCAGGTCAAGATACAGAAGAGATCAGTAACAGACATCCAGAAAAATCAGCCACTTTTAGACATCAGTTTACATATTTCCACCACATCGCTCTTTTAGAAGTAATAGCAAGATAAGCCATGGATGAAGTAGCACATCTGGAGCCACCAGAGAAATAAGTGAATTGCAATGATTTAAGATGAGTCATTGTTCCACCTTAATGGAAAACCTATAAAATATCAAACTGCCAGAGAGCAACAGATCTTTCAGGGGTTTATTAGTTTTACAGGTCTTATAAAAATTACCAGAAAAACATAAAACTTAAATAGCTCAAAACTGAAAATCTTTTATGAGCTTAAGCTCAGCCTGTTCAGATCACAGCATAGCTACACCTCTACAGCTGTTATGTGGCACACTAGCTGCAAGAATACACCAGACTCTCTTGCTTTTGATTAGCTGCCTTCTAAGCTCACACAAAATCTTGTATGTAGAATTCCCCTTATAAAAAACCATGAAAATATTTAGAACTCCATATATGGTTGACTTGCAGGTTCTCTCTTAGCCACAGCATGTCTGGTGATCTCTAAGTATTAATGTTGAGGACTGAACCATGAAGCGGATGAAAACACTGAGGATTATTACAGTAGAAACAGATACATTTATTTTCCCATGCTGCATACTCAAGAGGCTTACCAGGCATAATTGCCAGTCAGGAGAATCTAGTTAAGTAAGAATTTATGTCACACTTCCTGATTTGAAAAAATCAAAGACTAGACATGAAACACGGGAGCCTCATTATTATGTTGCAAGATGGAATAACAGCTCCAACATTTAGTCTTGCGACCTCTCAGACTAAATCTGTAAATATATGCCATATCCAGCACTTACCAGATACAGCAGTTCACAGAGCTCATAGCCAGAGAAAAACTAGGTTGTGTATCACATACAGTCACCCTAGGATGATATAATCAGATTGTTGTTGATGCTAATGTAGTCACAGCTAGCTGGACAACTACCAAGCTACTAGCAGTGACAGTCGCCTTTACTGAGTAGTCTACATAGTAAGTAAAGGTATTTACTGCATAGAATGCACAACTAAGTCCCTTGAGAGCTGGTGGAAACACAGGCAGGCAGATTCCATTGCTTTCTAAGCCTTTTCCATTGCAGGTACAAGCACCCAGAATAAAAATAATTAAGCACTGTTCAGGTCTTGTGTAGGTAACCTGAAAATGTCAAATGCATCAGAAAAACAGCGGAAAGCCCCACTCTCTACCAAGCCTAAAATAATAAGTTATTTTGGAGTCTCAAGGTGACACAAGGAGATGGTGGCTGGCCAATCACACTCCATTAACCATAAGCCAAACCCAACTACATACCCAGAAGCAGGAGACATTAAAGAGACAGCTGTAGATTTCAACAGAAAGTTCTTTCTCCTGCCTACCATCAGCTAAAGAGAGATTGAGCGTATCTGGAATAATGAAGAAAAGAGCCTCATGAAAAGTAAATCTTCACAAGGAAGTTAAGCTGTATCACAGCTGATTTCCCTCTCTCTGTTAAGTTTTAGACCTTCAAATACTTAGAAATTTATTAGTGAATGAGAGTGACTGGCAGTAATATATTAATAATTAAGACAACAAAAACTCCTGAGCTTAGCATTCTACTTCTGGCAAACTAGTTTGGTTTAAAGTAATTATGTTTTCAGGTTTTTCCTCCTTGTAAACATAAGTTCTGCCTTCTAAGTTTGGACATTTAATAACCTAATTTATCTAGGTCATGTAAATGCCACACACTTTCACAATCCAAAAAATAAAGAACTTCTCCTCAAAATACCAAAATCAAAATAAAACTACTAAAAACCAAAGCAAGATAGAAAGTACTTCAATAGAAACAGCAAACTCCTTAGCTACAACAAATGAGAACAAGCCCAAACACAACAGCAACGCTAAGGAAAAACAAAAAAACAAAAACAACAACAAAAAAAAAAAAAAACAACAAAACACCCAGTTACTCACCTTTGAAAGACCTCAGATAGACAGAAATCTCCAACAAAAAGTACCCCTACTTCCATTGCTACCCCTTAAATGAGATCTGGGAAGGGGTGGATCCTGGCTCCTCCCCTTCCAGTTACTCAGGTACATTGCATACACCTGGGCTTTCCTGGATTGGCCCTGCCTTCCCACCAAGTGCTCAATCACTGGTTCAGGCTGAGACTTAGCATTTCTGCTTCTGTAATTAAGCCTCACTAGCTGGCCAAAAGAATATGTAATCCTTTCTTATCCGTGACATAAAGTTTCCAAACTAAAATGAAATTACTCTGATTACTGCATAAAGATGCTTAGGTCTGCTGAACCTAATCTTTAAACACAGTAGTTCACATATCAGTGAACAATTATTGATTTGATTGATTTCTATTGTTTTAAATGGAGGATAAGAGTTCTGCAGACATTCATATGCACATCAAGGGAATTTCAGAGCAATACAGTGGAAAATCATAGAATCGTAGAATCACCAAGGTTGGAAAAGACCTAAAAGATCACCCAGTCCAACCGTTCACCTATTCCCAATAGCTCCTACTAAACCATGTCCCTCAACACAACATCCAGCCTTTCCTTGAACATCCCCAGGGTCGGTGACTCCACCACCTCCCTGGGCATCCATTCCAGTGCCTGACCACCCTTTCTGAAAAGTAATACTTCCTGATGTCCAGCCTGAATCTCCCCTGCCGTAGCTTGAAACCATTCCCTCTGATCCTATCACTAATGACATGAGAGAAGAGGCCGACCCCCAGCTCACTATAACCTCCCTTCAGGAAGTTATAGAGAGCAATGAGGTCTCCTCTGAGCCTCCTCTTCTCCAGGCTGAACATTCCCAGCTCCTTCAGCCTCTCCTCGTATGGCCTGTGTTCCAGATCCCTCACCAGCTTTGTTGCCCTCCTTTGAACACGTTCCAGGGCCTCAATATCTTTCTTGCAGTGAGGGGTCCAAAACTGGACACAGTACTCGAGGTGCGGCCTCACTAGTGCTGAATATAGGGGAACAATCACCTCTCTGCTCCTGCTTGCAACACTGTTTCTGATGCAAGCAATGTGCAATGCATATCTGTAGGGGAACTGTTGAATCACGGCTTGAACATCTGATTGATCATCTGAGGCAAGCACTAAGTCAGCCAAGGAAACACAGGTGTAGGCAATTCAGCTCTGTGACCAGAAAGGGTGGAGCCTGGCTGCACCTCTCCTTGACCCCATTTAAGGGCTGACTGCTGCTGGGGAAGGCTTATTTTTGGGGGATAGTTCTGTTTAGGCTTTTTTCTGTGAGCCTAGGTTGCAGGTGAGCATTTTTTTTTGTTAACAATTACCTATTTCTACCATGGTAACTTTTTTGGTTATGTCTTGTAGACTACCAGTCTGACTACACTGCTTTGTGTATTTGTTGACTGTACAATATCACAGAACCACTAATTGTAAAGTTGGTTACTGTTTTTCCTTATTTTTGCACAAGTGGGTAGAACTTGCTTGGCCTCTTTCTCACTCCCTAGAAGCATGAAGAATTTGTGGTTTCTATAAGCTTATTATTAAGCTAAGCAGAAGTAACAGCCTCAGTGAGACAGTTTGCATGTTATTTGCTATGTGGTAGTATTTATTGCATGCATTAGTACTCAGTCCTTGCTAATGCATTTAGCTTAATTATAAATGAGCAAAAATAAAATTATTGGATTTGAGTTTAGGGAGACTTCCATTAGGGATTTTGTTCTAGCTGCTAATACATCTGGAATGAATAGCTTTAACCACTGTGCAATTGTTTGGGGGAAAAAAAAAGAAATTAAATTATGTGAAAGGATTGCAAAAGCATTCAAATCTATGGGGAAAATCCAGTTGTCCCTTTTTCTAGCACGATGTATTAACACAATAATATATATCCCCTTATGCTTGATCAGACACTGAAATATTAAAGCAGTTACTGCAGTTTTTTGCCTAGATTGTGGTATCAAATATGCTTATGGTCTCACAGTGTAATTAGGTACTTAGAGAAACAAGTCTTTGGAAAGGGAACACCTTTGTCAAAATACAGTTTTCCACATCCCAAAGCTCAGCAGTAGTATGATGAAGCACTCATGCCCCTTTCAAAATGCTACTGAGAATGAAAAAACAAAGTAGCTGCCTTCATTTTTGAAGAATTTTGCTATGGTATATTTAATACAAATACTTTCTGGGGATGGAGGATGGTTTCTAGAGAATAGGACTGAGAACAGTGAATCTTGTTCACCCTATCACAGCAATGTAGCCTTGGGAGGATCTTCCAAGAGTTTGTTTGAATCAAAGCTGGATGGCAATGGGGCTCTCCCTGCTTATGTCTAACATGCTTAGAGCCTTTCAGGTATGGGAACGTCACACCATTTCCATGTCACCCAATCTTCTAGTATCTGAAGGCAAAAGATTTTTAATAATCACCTGCTTTTTGCTGCATTCTGAGCCCAATATTTCTTGCTGTATGTCATTAAAATGTAGAAAGAAAACTATTTTCAGAGTCAGATTCAACATGGCTGGAGTTCTAATGGAGATCTGTACTAGACATCTCTGCACAGTGTTCCAGGTGTGCAGGCTGAGCAACTTTCCAACTCCTTCAAATAGTTTCTCCAATATTTAAGGATGCCTTCCATTGCCTTGCACGCTTTCCCATCCCTGGAGGCACTCAGGTCCAGAGTGGATGGGGCTGTGGACAGCCTGATCTGGTGGGGGGGCAACCAGGGCAGGAGTGTGGGGCTGGGTGATCCTAAAGGTACCTTCAGTCTTAAACCGCTCTCTGATTCTGTGATTCTATGGCTTGAACAAGTAATAGGTCTGGATTAGAAGTTTAGCGTACTGGCAAAGTAATTAACCATCTATTTAAGGGCAAACAGGGATAATAAAACTAGTAGGAAAAACAGGGCACATGTGGGGGCTGAGTTGCCCAGCACTTGTAACAAGTAAAGGTGAGTCAGTGCTCTTGGCCTCAATCTTTAAGATGGCTACTGTGACCAGCAGAATGTAAGGCCCCCTTTGTAGCCCAAACACAAGAGTTTGAGTAGTGGCTGTGGCAGAGGCAGGTGGTTCAGTGTGTCACTGACTGTGGAGAGTGCGGAACTGGATGGAGCTCGTTTGGCAGCAGCGTGCAGGGGAGGCTCACTCAACGCGTTCAGTTTAGAAAACAGAGTCAATAGTTTCTACGGAGGAGCTTCGTCTCGCCGGGGCCGACCTTCAGTACACCGGCGCCAGGCGGGATCAGGGCGGCCGCGGCGCGCGGAGGCCCCGCCAGGGAGCGCTGTGGGCGGAGGCGTGACCGGCCGGGAGCGGCGCTCGGGCCCAGGGTGTCCGCTGCCTTCCGCCCGCTGGTGTCCCCCGGCGGCGGTGGGAGCGGAGGAGGAGCGGCTCGGAGCGAGGAAGCGCCGCCAGAAGCCATGTCTGCGCCCACCGGGCTGCCGCCTCGGCCCGCAGGTGCCGTCGCCGCTTACCCGGGCGGGCCCGTTGGCTCTCGGGAGGCCGCGGCCCCTCAGAGCGCTGCGCCGCACTGCCAGAACGGTGAGAGGCCTGCGCGGGGCCTAGCGCGGCGGGCGGGGTGGGCCCGCGGGGGCTGCGGTGCTCGGGGCGGGGTCGGGCGGGCTGCGGGACGGGGGGCTCCGGCGGGCCGCTCATCGGGGTCTGCAGTCGAGCGGGGCCGGGCCGGGCCGAGCGTGTCTTTGCTGGGCTGGGGCCAAAACGCGGGGCGAACTTTGGAGGAAACGCGGAGTCTTCTGGGCTCGGGGAGCAGCGGTGAGGAGGGCGTGCGTTTCTTCTGCTCCTCTCGTGGTTAAATGTGTTCGAGTTCGTGGGGATTTTTTTATTATTATTTTTAAGTCACTTATGTCATAATCCGGCTTTTTTGCGCTTTGGTTTTTTTGTTTTTTTTTTTTTTTTTTAATGTGTGTGTGTGTGTGTGTGTACAGGCTTTGTTCTGCACAAGCTAGTGTGTGGGGTAACGACCTACAAAATTTTGGCTTGTGAATGTGCCTCGTGTCTGAAGGGTTGCTGGGTGATAGGTTTCTCGAGTAGGCTTTGAGTAACTTGGCAGATCAGGCAGAAGGCAGCGTGATGAGTGATGAGGAAGGTAGTTAAATTGTACCCGTTAGGGAGAAACTGCTGCTACAGATGCATTTGCCGACCTTTAATATTGTAATGCTTAGACTTGTCAAAATTATGTAGAAAACTCCATCCTCGATGGCTTTTAATAAAAGCACAATGTTATGAGGACTCAGATACCTATCAGCAGTGAGCTGGAAGTGTTTCTTAGAAAAAAACAGAAACCGACGTTCATTCTCGTGTTTTTGTCCAAATGAAACAGCAATTTTAAATAACTCTCCATAGTGCTTATTATTTTAATTAATTAGTTCTATGTTGTAGTCATCTTCTGTCAGTCAAATAAATGTTTTTGGTTTTTTAATTCTGAGAAGTTTATATTATTCAGTAATTGTTTCATCTTTATTGTGTAACTCGCTAACTACTCCTATTACCTTTGCTCCATGTATATATAGACCTCTGAATTTGTCACTTCATGTGTTTTAGCACCAGCAGCCTGAAATTCCTAAATTAGTCTATGAGTCTTTTAAGTACTACTTTTCTGAAGTTACATAATGTAACACAAGACTTGAAGCTACTTTTTATAACTGTAATAGAAGGAATAGTGAAGGGGAATAGTAACAGAAGACTGTACTAGAATTTTCTATTCTATCAAATAGAGACTGAATTTCACAAAGATTAATTTGGAATTTGATGTTACATTAGTTAAATGTAAATTACTTCAGTAAATGTAGTTAGTTCTATATTGGCTGTAAAACTGATGTTGTGTTCCTTGCAGGTGTTTGGAGTGTTCTTTGTGTTTTAATTTCGTAACACCTGGATTTTTTCAGGTTAAGCTTTAGAAATTACTTGCAACTGATGAAAGCAGGGCTGATTTTTTTGCAGAAAGAAGCTCACTGCATGGACTGCAATAGCAAAACGGATGATCCACTTTGTCTTTAATAGGATTTGCCCAATCGAGTAACCACATTGATTTGAGACATTTGGGGACATTGATTTTAGCAGCAGAACTTCAGGTTAAAAATGAAAAAAAAAAACCAACCCCTACTTTATTATTTTTTTTTCTTCTCAGCGTTCTCAATGTGATTCTATTATTAAATTCAGTGTTTAAAAAAGAAAGAGGATCTTGCTTGGCCTCTTGTTCTTCCATCAGGGGCTTTAAGATACAGTTCTTCTGCATGAAGTGTTGCAGGCTCAAAATTACTATAGTAGTTTTGCAGGTGTCTTTATACATAACAGGAGAATGACTCTGAATGTCAGCTTAAGAAAGTATTGCTTGTTAAATCAGTATGAAAAAGCAATATATTTGTTCCAGTAGCCATTGTTAACAGCTTAATGTATTGACATTTCTAATGCTGAGTGGATGGCTATGCTGAATTCCCTTGCTTCTCTAGAAGATCTTTGTTTATTATTATCTGCAAGTAGTTGGTAAAACAAACAAACAAACAAAAAAAAAACTCCAACAAACAAAACTACATTTGGTATCTCTGCTAGCGTTTTGGGATTATCAGTTTAATTATCAGGTCATTTAGCATTGTTTTGCATCCCTCTTCAGGTTTTTTTGGGTAGTTACAATTGTATTAGAAGAAGGGCATAAAGGTATGAAATTCCTGGTGAATTCCATCACTGAGCTGCTGTGAGAGCCCAGCAGGACTCAGTGTGCTGGGTGGTGTGCTGGCAGTGAAGGACATGCAGAGCTGAACTAGGCAGGGCAGTGCTGCCCCTTGTCCCTCCTGTAAGAGACACCCGAGGGAGCTGTGCTGCCTGCTCTCTGCAGGTGTGTAAAGAGATGGTAAAAGTTGCAGGAAACTTGGCTGGAAAGGCAGCTTGTGTTCAGAGTCTGTACATTACACATGCTTGGCAGAAGGCTGAATTATTCAGGTAAGAAAATGTGTGTGTGAAATACAAGCGAACAGCATTAGATAAGCAGGCTAATTTTACCAGTTGACTTGGCTGTTGGTGTTAGTATAGCTGGGATAGCTTTTTGTTTTTCGTGTGGCAGCACTTTTTTTCTCTGAAAAAGTGCTAAGGCTTTTGGCATCCAGCTGCTAATGCACATGTGCTTACATGTTACAGTGTTATGAGGTACAGATTTGTCTATGGCAGGAGAGTTTCCCTGCTTGCTGTTGTAGAGATGGCATGTTAGCTGTACACTTGCAATGTGCAGGTAAGGCTTTCACTCCCCATACAGAATTTTCAAAAGGGAGTTGTCAGGTGTTTGGGGAGGAAGGTGCACTGCCTGAAGCACCAGGACAAGGACATGTAATTATCCGGATTTCAAAATGACAGCAAAAGTATACCCAGATTTCCTGTGTTGAAAGTGGCTCAATTACCTAGTCATCATTAAAAGCTTCAGCTACTAATTGCACTGCAAGTTACATTCTATTCATGTTCTTTATGATCAAATGAATATAAAGCTCATTTCAGATGATGGAGATAATTTTAAAATAGCAGCATACTTTCAGAGGCTAAGGGTTTTGAAATCCAAAGGATCATAGATATCTTTCTTGAGTTTGTGGGATTTTCCTGTGTGCTCTTGTGTCGTTTTGTACTTGTAATAGCTGTTTCTGTTTGCAAGTGTGAATAAAGATTACTTGGGCATTTTGTGATGTGGAAACTGGTATTTTGTACTGGTAATTCAATCACATCTGTGTTTTTTAAACTAGAGCTAGAGACTTCAAGGCTTTACAAGATGATTTGATATGCAGCTGTTTATTTCAAGTGAGGTGCTCCTAAACCAGTTTCTAAATTACACCTGCACAGTTGATTTATTCAGCGTACCACAACACAGTAAAACAAATGCGTAGAATGTGCTTCTAGAACAGCTTTCCTTGCCACCTTAAGTAGCATACCTGCTGAAAGCAGAAAGCCTTCAGGTAAATTATTTGTATATTTTTGAGTTTGCTTTGCTGTTCAAGTTCCTGTAAGCATAGTCTGTAGTTGTCAGTGGATTACTAACTGGAAAATCATTCTCTCTAAAGGAGGATAAACTACAGAACATTATAAGGTAGCTTCCACTTTGTGATAACAGTGAATCAGAAGCGCACAACTACATACTCTTCAAAACTGTTTGTCATTTTGTTGTGTATTTAAAGCTCCAGTGCTTTCTCCCCGAGGGCCTTCCTGTTTCTTTACCCAGCACTCTTAGATTACTGTTGTTTGTTAGCTGCTTTTACTCAGCGTTTTGGGTTATCATTTATGAAAAGGCATTTCTAATTTGATCAGAAAGTACTTTTGAATGTTATGTTCCTTGCTTACAGGGTTTTCTGTTAACAAGTCATTATTACAGTTTCCCTGCAACTTAGTGGGAAAACACCCGGATGTTACTTTGACAGCGGAGAAGTAATTCTTGCATATTGACACAGTGAAAATAAGGAGGCAAAAAGATGAATTTCTGATTTCTTGTCTGCTGTTGAATGGCACAGTATCACGTTGCATGTCACAGTTCACCAAATGCTGGGAAATAACGTGCAGTGTGATATAAGCAGCACGGCATGGCAATTTTAAGAAAGGAAATAATCCAGGGAAATGCAGGCGTGGTTCACTAGAAAACAGAAGTTAGGGCTTGGGAAAAGAAACTGAGAGAGACTTTGATATTTACCATCAATCAATTTGAATAATAAGTAAATTTGGACCTACTTAATATTTGGTGTGTCACCATGAACCCTTGCTGGATTGGTATGTAATTAATCTCTAATGCTGCAGAGCTGTTTGCTGGGACAGCTGAAACACTCTGATGTCAACACCTCCTCTACCTGATATAAGTACCAGCCAATAAACAGAGATGACTTGTCAGCTAATCTATGTTTTCATAAAAATGATGGTTTCTGTAAATACAAAAAAAAAAAAAAAAAAGTATTAAGGAAAAAAATAACTGCTCTGAAGCACTTTATCTTGATCACCATATTGGGGATTTATTGAGACAAGTAGCCATGTTCTTGTATATTAGCATATACATTTGGCTGCTGCTTTTTGTTTTCCATAGTCAGTTTCTTGAAGGCATATTGTTGCATTCAAATAGTGAAATACTGGTTTAGGGTTTGCTGTTGCTCATTATTTGCTTAAATATTTTCTTAAAGTGATCAAAATACAAATGTGATACCTAGGGATCTTGAAGTGGAAGCACCTTTTTTTTTTTTTATAATGGAAGAGATCCATTTTTCTGTTACTTCTGCGTGTATGCAAATGATTTTAGATGTGGTATTTTACATGCATTGTACTTGGTTCATTCATTTTGTACTGCTGATGGACATTATCTTAAATGTATGGAGAGAAAACAAGACGAAACAAATTACTTATTAGCTACAAAAAGCACAGAGTACATTCACACTGCTAGCAGATGCACCTTTAATACATGAGATGCTTTCTCTTCATTTCAGGTCCTGTGCAGAGTCAAATGCAGTTCCCTGCTGGCTACGGCTCACATCCTCCGAACTACAGTGCACCCTCAGGACACTATTCCCAAGTGCCCAATAAAGCTGTTTCATCACCTTTGGATAATCAATATAGAGCCAGTTATCAGTCTCCTTACTATTCAGCACCAGCACAAAATGTTATGACGCCACTCGTGGGAACCAATGTGTTGAATACACGGGAATCACAGCAGTTCTACAACAAAACTCCTCCCCGTACAGTGGGGTTGACTGAAGGACCCGTTCAAGGAGCAATACCATCTGGATCCTACTTGCATACAAGTGCTCAGCAGTCATATTCTGCATTTGGTGATCACTACAACACTTCAGTCAGCTCTTCAGTTGCATCTCAGGGATTTCCCCTTAATTCTGATCATTACGCCATGCCCATGGTTTCTAGTGCCATGTATCCTAATGTTTCCTATCCTGCAGCTACTAGCAGCGTGTATGGGCAGGCATTTACCTCTCAGAGCCTTCCTGCAGCTGGACAGTTCAAGGAGACAAATACATTTTCTAGCCAGAGTACATCAGTACCTCATTCACTTCAACAGCACATTCCTGTGGGATATAACTCTACATTATCAACTATTTCATCTGCTCAGTCCTTTCAGGACAACCTCAGCAAGAATCTCACTGGATCCATTGCTAAAGTAAACAACCAAGTAAACAGAGGTATGGTGTTATTTAAAGGATGCACCTGGGAAGTATCAGAAATCCCATGCTTTAGTTGTTTTGTACTCGATCATTCTGTGAAATTCTATATTATAATTTTGAATTCTATCCTTACTGGTTCTGGAAGCTTTTCTCATTTGGTTACCACACTCCTCACAGTAACAGCTAATGCTATCACTGACATGCTTCTATTGAGAGAGACAGAAAAAAACACTACTGGGGTAGTTTAAAGGTTATTTGTTGTTATTTATTCTTTAAGTAACTTAGAGGGGAAGTCTTTCTTGCTCTTTTGAAAGAGGGTGCAATTTCTTAATTGCAAATACACTTTTTTTATTCGATGACTGGAGATTTTTTTTTTTGATGTTATGACTTAAGCTTGTTCTTCATCTTTTACCAAAGTGAACACATATGCACACTCTCTCTTCACTTCAGAAACTGAAGTGGGTTTGGGGGCAATTATCTTGGTTTTGTTTTCAAGAAGCATATGACAGCTATTTAGGTGGTTGTAGCTGATTTTTTTTAATTTTTTTTATTTTTTGTAAACAACAATGTTATTTTAGCATTGATGTAGCAGTAGAGAATGAGGTGTGGAGAGTGCCAGCTGAAGGCAAGTACACTCAGTCCTTGCTGGTAGCTTCAGCTTCTGCTGCTTCATGAGAAAGGTGACTACAAGTTCGTAGGGTGGGAATTGTGGAAGGAATTTGATGTGTGTGAGGAGGGCCTACATAATGACACATTTTGCTCTCCCTCTGTATCTGTATTAACTAAATAGTGTGTGGAAGAAAATTCTGATTGTTCTTCAATACTGGTAATGTTCTGACTTGATACAGTTCTGACTTGTAAGCTGTGGAAGATGAATAGTTTTTGGATGAGATGGGTATTAGTGAGCTGTTGTTGAATGTTGCTTTCTTTATGCCAGATATTTCGGATTATAGTTCAGCACCAAAATTGGTTTTGGAGTTGCTTGTAGCTGGGGCTTCCTAAGACCAAGGAACATGGTTTTGATGATGGTAAAGCTTTGAGTAGGAGCACCAGCTTAGCTTAAATCGAGTTCATTCAATACGTGTCAGGGTTCTCTTTAGTTTCAATGTTGTTTTGTTTTGTTTCCAAACTATGAGTGGTATCCTTCAGCTCAGTTTTGGGAGATGTAAGTTCTGCCTCTATGTGGTACTCTGTGCATGTTCACTCAGTATTTCAAAGCCAAAACAAAATACTGTTCCCCCCCTCCTTCCCCCCCCTCAAAAAAAAATTAAGGAAGGGGGAGGGCTTTATAAAGCTACTGAAAATAATGGTGTTTAAAGGTTAAGCATAAAAAGAATTATTTCAAGGACTAAAGGTTTAAAAGTACATCTGAAAATTGAATTATCTTCAGTATAGAACCAATAGCTGAACTTCAGGTATCCTTCCGGGATACTGCAGTAGTTGTATGAAAATCATTTATTATTTGTTCAGTATCCTTCCAGAATAGTGGCATTTGCAGTAGTCTTATGAAAACTGTTATACATTCAGACTTTTCAGTTTAATTTACAGAAGTCTTTTGTTTAAATGCATATTAATTTGACTGACTTTTCTATTATTAGTTCATAGCTATTTTTGTAAAGAAGGACTGTATAATGGGTGAGATGGTGAAGCTGGCCAGACTGTGGAGCACATTATGAGCCATTGGTAGCTTGCTTTCTGTGCCGTTCAGTGTGCTTTAAGGGAGTGATTGAGATTGTAGAATCACAGAATCCTTAGAGTTGGAAGGGGCCTTTAACGGTCGTGTAGTCTAACTCCTCTGCAATGAGCAGGGATATACACAGCTGAATCATGTTGCCCAGGGCTTGATCCAGCCTTGCCTTGAAAGTCTCCAGGGACAGGGCATCAACTGCATCTCTGGGCAACCAGAGTTCCAGTGCCTCAGCACACTTGCTGTAAAAGATATTTCCCTTATATTCAACTAAATCTACCCTCTTTAAGCTTGATATGTGATACGTCCTCAAAGAACTAGTAGCAATATCAAGTTTCCATTTCAAAGAGCTCTCTGCACAGTGAACTCTGTTGAGATTTGTTTGGAGCGTAGCTTCTTTTCAGTCTGAACCATTTTTCAGGTTGAAACTCAGCATAGAAGTAATTCTGTGTTTGCTGACTGGGAGAAAGCAAATTAAGGTAGCAACCATTAGCAGACTGAGGGGAAAGCAATCTGGATTACTACCAACGTTGGCACAAATACTGTTTGAATAGCAGTTTTGGTGCAGTTTCACAGTAATTTAAAAAAAATCAAGCCTGAAATGACATGGTCCCACTCTTTCTGTGGTACTGATGCAAGTATTTCAGTACATTATAGGTAGCTGTAGGTGTTTCATCAGATTGAGTTGTCACATGTAATTCCATTGGACAGATCTAACTCCAACTACCAAGTAGGATTCATGACCTACCAGCCTCTCATTTAATTTTACAGGATGACGTCATTAATGAAGTCGGAATGTTGTTTTTTTGTTGTTTTTATTGGTTTGCTGGGTTTTTTGTTTGTTGTTGTTGAAGTATAGAATTCGATATCTTTGGCTTGAAATATACGGAAAACACTGATAGGTTGCCTGGTTAATGGCGGAGGCCAAATTCTTGTTTGGTCTTAGCTTAATTGAGTTGCTTTTGGGGGACTGAAATGCTTTCTGAATTTCTCTGCAGTTTTATTGTAATGATTTGAAGTATTTTTAAATAGAGAATGCAGAGTGTTGGCTGTCTTAAAAAGAAAAAAAAGTTGAAACTTGAAAAAGACTTGCCAGTTTTTGTACATCTTTGGAAAGAGTACAACATGCTAGCAATCTAAAGAAATGATAAACAGTTCATAAAAGAAAATTTTCTGGAGAGCAGCATGGAGGATGAAATATTCAGGAAGAAAACAGTGACAGAAATCAGTTTCAGTTTTTTCTGTGCAAAACTGCTTGAAAATTGCTTAAAATAAGCTGAAATTCCCAAGTGTTTTTTATGACTGTTCATGCAAATAAATTTTGATTGCTCTCTCCTATTGCTAGTTGGAGTACCAAGAAGACTTCTTGGCACTGTGATTTTAAATTCTGTATTCCTGCAGATAACACTGTAAGTGTGTCTAGATCAGTGCTGTTCTATGTAAACAACACACTGTATTGCTCAGGGTTTTTGTCTTTCTAGGTCAGTAGCTTTCTTTATTGTGTTTCCAGCTTATCTCAGTTGAAATTCTGATTGTCTTGGTACTTTCCAGGTAGTGTGGATCTGAATGTTTTGTCAGTCAGGATGCCCACGTACTGGAGTCTCCTCCCATCATTGAGGGGAAAACTCCAAAGGGTGTATGGATGGGTTTCTTTGCTTTATGGATCTTGTCTGCTTGCTGTAATCATAGGCAGGCAGCTTGACCTGGAGACACTTGAATTTCTTGGCCTCATGCATGTCTTCCCCTTACGTCAGAGACGGATCTAAAGTCCTCGCTGCATCACTTCTGTAGGAACGTTATAATTCTGTACATATATATATGTACAAGACTAAAGTCTTGTATATACAACACAGATGTTTTAATCTTGTATATTTATTAACAGCTGAGATGAGGAGAGTTGTGGAGATAGGATGCTGCAAGGAGATGGTAAATCTCTCCATAGAAATTAAATGCTAAGTTGAGGGGGGGTGGAAACAAACAAGATCATGGCGATAGCAGCTCAGAACAGATGGATCTCTAATCTCTTCTGAAAGCTTGATGGTACTACTGTGGTAAACTTTGTCAACTGCTACTTCAAGTTGGAAATGAAAACTTGTGGTGATAGTGTATAGGAAAAATAACAGTTTACCTCTGATCCACACATTTCCAAAGATTGTTTCTGTAACATATCTTTTAACTGTACATCTCTGTTGGTGCAAGGCTTTTGTAACCAAGAATCATTCCGAATCATTTGGCATGAATAAAATGTTAGCATGCAAAAATAAAGGTTTGTAGGGGAGGGAGAAGTACAGAGAATGTTGTGTCACTGAGATGGGATTTTGTATTTGTTGCAGTGTGGTGAAGGTCTTCCTTGGTGGGAGCGTTTGGTGGGCTAACCAGCATTGTCCTGGAAAAGCTAATAGGAAACTTAAGTGGGTAATCAGTCCAGCTTTGTCTCTAAAGTGTAGTACGCCATCCTGAACTGATCGGTGCTTGTGTTGCAAGGCACAGTCTGACTACCAGTCAAGAAAAAGAGAATATTGGTATATTGGTATATTCAGATAAGGATCTACATCAGTTTGGATGAAATTTTTGGATAGCCTGTGGTTGAAAATAAGAATTTAGTATCTGGCAGGGGAGTATCGAACCTTCAGCTAGTTCAAGTGTAAACCAATTTCAACTTAAAGCATGTGGCACTGTTAACACGTTGAGTGCTTTATGGCAGTGTTTGAAACTGTGAGCATTGCTTTATTGACTTGAAGTGTGGAAAGTACCAAAATGCCATGCAGAACTCTTGCTGCTAAAGCAAGGTAAGTATGCAACCATCACAGATCCTCCCAGGTCATCTCATTTATCTTGCTTGAGGAAGCTGTGTAGCTACCAAGGCATCATGTCTGCTGAAAGGTGCTGGTGCTTCCAAGAGGAGTCCGTGAGGCATTGTGTGGAAACGCAAGTTACAGGAAGTATATTTCAATACAAAATGCTGTGTGCGTGTGCTTTGGAGAAGAATGTTTTAATCTAGATTTTGGTAATTGTTGCAAAATACTACATATACTGCACACTATACTTAAAATCTGCATTATAAATAGAAGTGCCATTAAGATGGGACAAAGTATGCTGCCAATTTTAAAGACGAGTAAGAAAAACAAGAGGATCATTTTAAACCTCATTTGTTCCCCTAAAGGAGGCAGGAGTTGTCAACTTTCTGCAGAAAGTCCTGTCAAATATCAGCTCTTTTATTGAGGAAAAAATCTAAGGTTGTATGTACTGCATTGTTATTTGTGCAGGGGAAGCAAAGCTAAAATTACACATGCATCATTCTCTGATTTCTGTACTGTAATACTCTGAAAATGTAAGCGTTTGAATTTTGTTTGTGCTTAATTTCTGTGTTGGTATGCTGAGTCATTGAGTTGGGGTCAAATCTTTTTTTTTCTTATTCACGTTTTAAACAGTTTGGTCTGTCAGAGGTTTTTAACAAGTAGTTGCTTTTAAAACGAATGATGATACAATGTTTTTGTGAATTTATAAACAAAGAGTGATTCTGTTTAACACAAACTTAATTGAACTTATATTGTCCTTATCTGATAGGAATTTCAACTGGACTGTTGAATCTTTTAAAACATTAATCTGATTTTTTTTTTTTTTTTTAAAGCAGATTATGTCTAGTCCAGATGTTTAAAACATCGGAATTTCTGTGGAGTACTCAGGGCTGATTGAAGCAGATTGCTTAGAAATGGGTTTTGTAGCTGGGTAACCAATTGTACAATACCTGGAACCTGTGAGAGACAGGATCCTGGTCACACACAGATGACTTGCAAATTTCCTCCTTGTGAGAGGGATATGGGTAGGGAGATAGCCCTGCGTTCCTCTTGCCTAGGAAGAGGAACCTCTGCAAGCATTGTGTTTGGGAAATGGAATAAAAAATGCATTCATTTATCTTCTGCTTAACCTTGGTTGCACTATCTAACATTTTTGCCGTTTGTTTTCAGAGCAGTCTGTTATTTTAACGGAGTCTTTTACAGTACAAACCTTTCGTATTAAAGAAGACAACCATCTTTTTCATAAATACTTGTGCGAAGGCATCTCTGTGAAGTACTATGTTGTTGCTGTGGTTGTGAAATCAACATTAAATATAATTACTTTTATTGTGTATTTGCTTGCGTAAATACAAAAAAAACCCAAAAGCGTTCCTACTTTCTGCTGTTGTTTTCAGATGGCATTGATTCTTCACAGCCCGTGCAGTCTGTGAGCCAGAGCGCTCAGCTTACCAAGCCTGGGGTTGGGGCACCTGCTTCCTCTGCTCTGATATCCTCAGTGAGGACGCCGGCCCCAGGCCTATCTTCACAGCCACGATCGTCACCCTCCATTACACAGTCACCGGACTCAGCCCTTCAGGAAGGTACTAAAAGGGAATGGGGAATTGTAATACAGACCTCTGCCCTGTTCCACGTGTGGATTTGTATGCTGGAAGCTTCATTGCTCTTTTGCATTTGTCTCACTAGTGGACTTCTCCCATCTTGTCAAGCTCCTTTAGTGTTTGTGACACTCTGGTTCTGTTTGTTTTTTACTTTTCTTTTCCCTCTTGTGTTTGATTTCCTCTGGTTATATATTGTCGCTGGCTTTGCCTGCCTTATTGTCACTTGCATGTCTCTTCCTTTCAAAGTATTTCACTTAGTTCCATTAAAGAGTTGTTCACAATCCTGATATACTAGAAGAGAGGCTTAAAAGTATCTTTTGTAATAAATCTGTTGCAAAATCAGATATAAACTAGCAATAGCGTAGCTGTTTTCGTAAAACCTGCTGCAAGCTCCTGTGGAAAGCTACTGCAGGAGCTACTGATGGAGCCACAGTGTTTTGAGTTGCCTTTTAGGCTGTTTAATATCTATGTTCCTACTATTCTTAATCTAATGTATTGCAGTGTTTTATTTCTTGCTGTGTAATTTCAGAATTTTAAATCCTTATGGAAAAATAACTCATTGTGCAGAGTGGAAGTAGACGCTGGTCTTATTCAGAACAGGGTGATATAGTTAGCCTTCAAAATAATTCTCAAAACTGTAGTGTTTGGCAATCACAGTGTGCTTTTCATTTCTAACTTTAAGAGTACTGACATCCATGTGTAAACTTCTCCTTCTCTTCCATTTCTTCCTTTTTGCCTATGCAGCGAGGAACATAAAGAAATAATTTCTGTGAAGAAGATTGAATCAATTCACAAAGATGATTATTCATTGCTACTAAGTGCTACATACAGTGTACTGTTTCCAGGAAAATAACTCAGAGCTGTGCTTGATTCTTGCACAGTTCTGTAAATTGCTTTGGTACAGGGTAGAATTTAGTTGTACTGCAGTTGTGTTTGCTAGAAAAAAAAAAAAACAAATAACACTGCTTAACTTCTAAAGAAACAGCATGACCCTGTTGCAGATGAGAAAAAGGACTTAGTTGTTTAATTTTGCTTGCCTTAATGTGCTATGTATATATAGCAGATTATCTATCTATCTATATACGTACACGTTTTCTGCAGTGATTCCTAAGTAATGTATCACGTGTTCATGTGGAATTAAATCCGGATCACTGTGGTCACTGCTGAGCTCTGCACTAAATTCAAAATCATATATGTAAGTTAAGGTTTGTGCAGTATGTAGCTGGATGAGCACTCTTCACAACCAGTGCTGTGCTTGTACATATAACAGGAATATGTAGCTAAGTCATCGGGTGCTTGCAATGAGCTAATTGTATTTACATTATTGTATTAGCTGTCTCTCATCAAATGCAAATTTCTACTTTTTTGTAAGTATTAGAAGACTTTGTAAACATTTTTCAATTAGTTTCTGTTGTAGGAGTCTGAAATGCATAATGTTTTCTTGGAATACTTTTTTTGCACCAGTTAAGTGTGATAACTTCGTTTGTAGAAATTTATCTACTGAAGAAATTGAACATATCTTCTGAATATTTCTCTGGGTTCTTAGAAATTTACACGTGTTTCTCATACAGTGATGAAATGTACTGATTTTTATCCTAACAGTAGTGTTGTCTACATGGGAATGTTCTGGAAATAAGATTTGCATTCGTTCAAGTCTCTAGTGTCTTTGTTTTAAGCCCTTGTGTGGGCATTCTTATGTAGCATTTAAATATGGCAATTGCTTAGTTGGGTAAGTTCTTCCAGGGGGGTGAAAAAAAACACCTAAAATGTATTCAAGGATGTTTTGTCTTAAATGTCCATACAGTTGTAATGCAGATAAAATAATCTTTTTGGAAATGGCATCCTAGGGATGGACTTTTGTGTGCATGTATCCTATCTGGATGTTTTTTATGTACTCTCTTATGTTCTGTGTTGTTGAGAGGAACTGATAAGTAACTGAAAATAATACAAAGCTAAGATAAAGAAGAGAGTTCACTTAGTAAAAATTACTATTTGCAGTATTACAGTGTTCTTATCCTCATAGCATGTGCATTGAAAATATGAGGCTTATGCAACTGAAGACCTTTAAAATATAATCTATTTTTGCATGTCCTTATTTCATTTTCATTCTTGGTGAGGCCTCTATTATAAAACTTAACCTACATAAGCATACAGTTTGTTCTAAAGTGTTCTATTATATGAGTGGTTGTTATTTACAATATCTAGATAGTTGGCTTATTTCACAGACAGATGATTTCTTAGTATAGTTTAGCACTTTCCTTCCTTTTTTAAGCAAGGAAGTTTTAGGACTGGAAGACTTAAACAAATTATTGGCTACGTAGACGGCACTAAGCAGAATGATTAGTTATGATCACACTTGAATTGCTGTGTCAGCCACCCGTGCCTGTCCCTCAGTTGCCTTCTCCCATGTGCTTGCCTACTGGCTGTGCCACTGCCCTGTGAACCGAAGTGAGGGGTTTCTGCATCTGAGATTGACTTTTTAAATGGAGTTATTTTTCAACCAGATCAGATGATGGATTTGTTTGCATCATTGAACAGTTGTGCTGGTAGAACGCAGCAGTATCCTGAAGGCAGAAATTTGTACTACTGCTGGCAACAAAAAATAATGTTCCGAGCTGGTAAGGTGAGAGTTCAGCCAGCCCTGCTTCCAGACTTCATAATGACCTCTTAGTTTCTCATTACTAAATTACTGTCATTCACATATTTTCATTTATCTTCAGTATTCTTTCTGAACCACATGTTGTCTTTGTGTATGAACCAGTGACAGGAAAAGGAACAGTTCTAGAAATACGAGTGTATTTACTTGGGTTTTTTTTTCCCCAGCATTTTATAAAGATTTCAAAGGGGGCATAGTAGAATGACTAATTCATTCCTTTCCTTTCATTTGTCCGTGCTTGGAATTTTTGCATTGGTGTGCTCTTTTCAGGTAGATCTACTTTCCATCCTCCTCTGTCTGTGATATTTGTTAGGAATCTGTCTTTGCACTCACATGCTGTGCTGAGCTTTTGTTGTGACCTCTGTTTCTGTCACACTTCATAACTTGTCTCGTTACCAATCCCTGTTCTGATTTTTTACTTATTGCATGTCAGTGATCTTAAGTTGATTTTTCTCCTTCACCATGATTTAATTGTTCTGTCTTATTCATCAGGAGTTCTCCTGTGCCTGAGAGAATAACATGGTCTCTTCAGCTGTATTCTCTTTTGGGGCAAAGAAAGTTTTTTTTGTTGTGGGTTTTTTTTTTTTGTTTTGTATCATTATCAAGTGCATCTGGTAGCCTTCACAGGAGATGAGGAGAGGAATCAGTGGTGCTAGCTGTACAGAGAAGCTAAAACGTGATACTGTGGTTGTCTTCACTGCTTCCTAGTTATTGAGAAAAAACTCGATTGGAGTTGTAAGCTTGTGATGTGCTAAATGAAGGGAAATAATGTCAGTCACTTTGTGCACTAAACTCTGTGTGGAAGGTACAGCTTCCCAAGAATGCCGTGATACACCTTTGCTCTGTTTTCTTTTTACACTCACTGTGCATAGATGCCCTTCGCCTTGACTCTTGTTTTCCTTTACTGAAATTGAAGCAGTGCTTTGAGACTGCTTACATGAGGAAAAAAGAAAAGAAAAAAGGCATGTACCTGGTATTTTAATTAAAATAAAGGTTGATGTAGTAGGTTTGAGTTTGCAGTTGGGGTTAATAAATACTGTGATGGTTTCAGATTGTTTAAGTTGTCATATCAAGTTGTCATGAAGCCATGTCAGTTTTGTAGTGCTATGTAGTGTGAAGATAAAAAACGATCCAGTGTAATGGTGACATTGTTTCTGTGGGGAGTGAAATCCTAAACTCCTGAGTTTGGAAGATTTAGATTTTGCTATAGTGGTCAACCAGATTGCTGGGAGGGGAAATTATGTTTCTTCTTGGTGTGTCTCTTTCTGGCTGCAAGCCTGTTTCAAAAACTGTCCTAACCCTGTCCAACAGCAAAGGAAATTTAAGAGTTCTTGGAAATGTTTAGACCTAATTAGTAACATTGTGTATTCATTATAAAATACTGCAGTGTGCTTTACTCTTTTTAAAGTGATACGTGCATGTGCTGTTTTTGTGTATTGTTCACATATGTTTGTTTTAAATACCGTACGTGTCTGGTTTGGAGTTGTCTATGAGTTGTCATCAGAACTTAAACGTGAATGGTAATTTTTAAGTATTTAAGTATATGGGTCTACAAGCTTGAATTTAGGCATTAATTCTAAAATAACACTAAGTTTTCAGGTTTGCCTAGTTTAAATTTCACTGAAAGTGATGCTGAAGTTTACGTTTGAATTCTTATTCCCTGTAACAGCAGTATGTTTCATTAATTTCTGACAGCTTTCACACTTTGAAAGTGAATGCCTCCTGCTTTAAAGGGCAACTGTGCCAAGTAGATGTTGAGTATCAATGCCTTCGTAACATAATTCAAAATTATCTGAGAAGGAACACATTTATGTATAGGTGTTGCTTTTTGTAGACATTCCAGGCCAAACTGCTGTTAACCATCTATGCAGAAAGTCTGTGTGTACATAATTTACACACACAGATGTGAAACTTTCTGCTAACTTCTGTGTTACTAATACCTCACTGGCTCACTAAAAACTGCTTCTGCTGTATACTTCATAGATCAACCTTGGGTCTAGTTCTCTAGATCGTATAGGGTTGTACATTCAACTGTTTGCATGTTGGGATTTTCTCTGGAATGGCTAATATCTCTCACTTTTATTGCAATGATATGTGACTTTTGTTTCTCATCTTTCCTGTCTGTCTGATTCTTATGTTTGTGCTTTCCACTTCACAGGCATGCAGTATGGTGGATATGTTAATAATCAAGCTAGCACTGCACCAACTCCCTTGTCATCAAGTTCAGATGATGAGGAAGAGGATGAGGAGGATGAGGAAGCAGGTTGGCTTTAGCTTTACACCAGTATCTTATTCCCTTCCTACTCAAGTTTTGTTCCGTATTTCTCTCCCCTGAAGTTATTTTTCTTTATTTGAGACAGAAAGTCACTTTGACTCAGTATGTATCACGTTAACTAGAGAATTCCCATACATTAAGTACTATTGCAAACAGAAAGGAGTTTGGTAGTGGTCATCAAATGTTCTTTTCATATTAATATTATGTTTGTTTCTTTTCATATTAAGATCAGATGTTTAATGTATCTCACTGGGTAATATTCTCAGCTTAGAAGACTCACTGAGTTTTAGTATTTATATTTGAAGTAGGTTTTAAATCACCAAGTGAAGATACCGACATATGGAACTCTAGACTGATAACAGATTATTTTGCAAATAAAGCAACTGCATGCTACTTTTTATAATATTAAACAGCACTTACCTGGTTATCCATTCCATGTATAGGAAAACCTTACAATTAAGGTAGTAAAGTATAAAAATATTGGAAATTTTTAAGTTTGGGTTTTTTAAAACAGTAAACTAATCTATTTCATTTTTCTTTCTTCTTTCATTACATTTCTGCAGCTCAGAGACATAGGCTCAGTTTTAACCTGCTTGCTTTGTGGCAACCTAAATGCAGTTACTGTTTTTTAAGAAGCAGTTTCTCCTGCTTGATTGAAATGTTAGGCTTTTGGCTGCAAGGATTTTGTCTGTATTTGACAGAATTGTCTGGTTTTCAAATTCAGTGTGTTGTGTTTCTTGAACGGCAGCTGTTTCTTCCAAAGGAAGCTCAAAGAAAAGTTTGCTTTGGCGGCTGTGAGGCCGATGCTGTTTGAACTTTGCTTTCTGAAGAATAGAGGGTTTTTTTTTGTGCTGGGCTTTCTACTGAGTTTTCTGCAGAAAACTATGTTTGCCTAATCCCCTCCCCACCTCCGAGCTTCTTTTACCACAACCTTTTTTTACTTATTTTGCTCCCAAGCCCTACTAGAGACTAAATTCTCTTATTCTCTACCATCCTAAATTGTGAAGATCTGTAGTTCCGTTAAAGCTTGTAGTCTTTGAACTGTCATCGTTTTCAAAACTCAGAAGAGTGCAAGGGCATCTAGACTCAAAGCATAAGTTGTCTAACTAACAAGTTTCCTCTTTTATGCCCTGTCACCAGGGGTTGACATATATCCTGACAGATTTTTAGCTCTGGCTGTGCCAGTGGTTTTACAAAAAACAGGTGTGTTGTACATCTGGTTGTCTGTTTTTTTTGTAGGTTCTCAAAGCTTTTTTGTACTGGGACCTTTGACTATCATGCTAACTGTGTGAAAGCTTAAGTTATTTTGATGAAAATAACTAGATAATCTTAAAAGCATGTTGTAAGTATCGCTTCTGTCCGAATAGTGTCTATTATTATTTTTTAAATCTAAAAATTTTTTTTCCCTTTTTCCTAGTATCCTCTGGTCTGATGCTTTAAGTACTAAAATAAATGAACAGCTGTTGGAGCTTATTTTAAGTATAGGCAGCTATTTAATTTTATGGCAGTTCTTATGTTCTTTATTGAGGGAAAATGGTAAAATTTTAGATGCATGTAGTTACCTTAGAGTCCAGAGGTATTTCTGATCTGCAGGGAACAGCACACCTCATTGTTTTTGTAGTAAACCACATCGTTCCCAGTGGATGGTGAGGTGTGTATTAATTCTTGTCCTCATTGGTGCCCTGACTATTCTGAGAATGTGTTACAAAAATGTCAACAGTCTTAAGAAGGAAAGACCTTATGTGTAAGCTCTGCAGTAATTATATGGGATACTCTGAAGGGAATTCATGTTATTTTCTTAGGCAGATCCTGTTTGTGCTTCAGAATATCTGAGATCGTAGTTTAGCTAGAACATCTCTGTATGTCAAAATTGCTGCTTGTTTTTATTGATACTGTTTTCTGTTTAGTAGAAATAGGTCTAAGATGCATTATTTTTATTTCCAGCAGGCGCTTGAAATATTTTCTTATTTTTCTCTGTCAGTTTGTTTTCTCTTGCCCTCCAGGGAGAGCTTGGGAAGCATATATTATTTTTTATAACTCACTCTATCATTAATATCGTCTAAGGATAAAGAATATTTGATTTTATGTGCAACTGCATTCCAGATATATTTCTTTTAGTGAGTACAGCTTATTGTGGAGAAAAATGTCTAACTGGTGACTCGGTGGTTAAATGGGAAGTCTTGAAGTTGTCTTGTATGTTCAGAGTTGTGTGTATATCTTCTTGGTATTCTTTTGAAATGCAGAACAAGCTCTTCCGGTCAGATGAAAAACAACTTACTTAAACTCTTAAGTAAATCTCGTTGACCTAGTAAAAGCGTATTTTGACTTCTTAGTAGTAGGACAAAGCAAAGCTGTGCCACACACAAAATAATGAATCCGGTTTCCTTTCGTTTCTAGAACACAAAACAAACAGCAAAACCAACAAAAACTCAACCATGTTGGTACATTGGTTCAGTTTGGCCTGAAGTGGGGATGGTGCGTGATCACTCTGAAGATGATGGGAGACTTCTGTTGTTAGGAGTTGTGAGGGAAATTGTAGCAGTCTGTTTTTAAAATGTTGTACATTGCTTTGTTTCATGTGATTCAGAAAGAATAATCTCTTGGAAGAATTTTTTTGGTTTCAAGAAACAACTTTTTTGCATTGCTTTTGTCCTACCATGTGTCTCTCTTTTACCATTTGTTTTGTGTTAGTTTCTAAAAATATGTTGATTATTCATCTCTTTCCTCTCCTTTTTGCAGTGGTAATAGCTTTCAAGTCTTAGGCTATGGTGTTTGTTGTTGTGTGGTTGTTAGGTTTTGGTTGGCTTTTTTTTTTTGGTAATAAATCTTCACGGTTCCTTACCAGAGTTTTTAGAAAAAAATGTCTCAAAGATTTACTATTTGAGTCACCTAAGTTTTTGTTTTCTTTTTTTTTTTTCTTAGCACTTGATAGTTCTTCTACTACTAGCAGTGCGTCTCCTGTTCTGAACAATTATGATGCCCTGGAAGGAGGTGGCTATCCAGGTAATCCATGTGTTGTTGCATGTGAATTCTGAATTGTTTGTTTAAATTTGCTCAAGTGTCTGCTGTCTGCTGTGATTCTTTTCCCTTTCTGATGTTGATTGTTGTCCATCATTGAACAGGAGAGAGGAATTACCTTTCACCTTCATAGGAACTGGGGTAGCCTTCAGAGAGATCAAGCCTTGCTTTTTCAATCACTTCTCACAGATTTAACAGTGAAGTTTGAGTAATAATTAAGAAAAATTTCTCTGTATCACAGGCCATAGTTTCCATCATAATGTTGAGGGCAGTGCTGAAAGTGTGCTCTGTATGAAAGCAGTTATCTTTCTCTAAGTTATGCTGTGTGCCTGATTGTGTAGGCTTAGCAGCTGATAATAGCTGAGATGCACCATGTGAAGTTTTGAGAGATCAAAGATAGCAGTTAGCAGAGATGGCTGGATCAGGTTATTTTCTTTTTATTCTTCTACATGCAAAGAAGATTTGAAAAACATAGATGGTATGCTGCTTATTTTAATCTTTAGAAATATCAGGAATGTCAGGTTTATTTTATGTGATCTAAAGGTTACCTCAGTCTTCAAATCCGTCATTTTGGGAGCAGGTGGCCAAGGGTGCTTGTAGGTATGTTAGTCAATATTATGTTATATATTTTTATATTATAAATAATGGATTAATTTTGGGGGTCTGACCATCTAAGAACGTCACAGTAGTTTGCTTAGTCTATGGGTTCTTGTGTAAAGCAAAATCTGTCAGCTAAAATCTTGATACTGCTCTCCCTGTTTGGTCTGGTTGGTGCAGTAAAGGCACAAGAGACATGACTGCAGGAGTACGAATTTTAATTTTTCAGATGATAACCAAGCATTTTAGTCTTGTTGAAGAGTTATTCTGAAAATGGCTTATTCCTTATGCTTCCTTCAAAGAGTAACAGGATTAACTTTTATTCTTTTTATTTTTACACCACCCATCTGAACTGTTTGAACCAAATCCAGATTCTTCAAGATTGTTTTTTTGGGCGATTCATATGCCACTTCTCTTCAGATTTTACCAAGCCTAAATTCTTCTAAGTCTTATCTGATATTCAGAAGCGTTAAATTCGGAAGAGTAGTGTTGTTGGTTTTGGTTGTTGGTTTTTTTTGTTTGTTTTTGTTCTTTTTTAACAATAGTTGAATTTTTTATGGATTGAGGGCTGTGTATTTACTTTCATTTTAACCTTTAACAATCCTGACTCCAAAGCTCTTCTGCAGGAATAGGAAAGAGGGCTTGGATTTCTTCAAGAAAAGCACTATGTCTATATATAGGCATTAGTACTTTCAGCTCAGTGGTGTGTGTTAAGAGTATTCGTAAGTGACTGCAGAAGAGACTAAGCATCAATAGTAAATCCTGGAATATAACGTACAGAAGTGTATGAGGGTGGCTTTTGTTTTGTTGGTTTTTTTTCCTTTTTTAATTGAAAAACTTGTTTTAAAAGCTGTGGAGTTTTGAGGTGTTTTTTTTTGTTTTGTTTTGTTTTTGTTTTTTTTCAGAATGACATGTAGAAGTTTTGGATAATAGATACACAGATCTATGGTCATCTTCCCATGTATAACCCGTTTTTGGCATCAGCTGCAGTAGACTTAGTTGCTAATGGCTTATTTACATGCGATCAATGCAAAAAAAAATCTTGCTGGATAATGCAAAAATTATAAATGGGAAAAACGTTGCTTGTTAAAATGCATTCAGGAGTTGATGTCTTAACTAAGAAATTGAAATTCTACTGAATATCTGAGGGGTATTTTTGTCCTTCCAGAGACACGCTCTGTGACCAGCAGCCCAGTTCCTACTCCACCAGCCCCTCAAACATCCAAAACTTCCAAGCCCTTTGGTTATGGATATCCAACACTGCAACCTGCCTACCAAAATACAGCACCACCTACTCCTGTGCAGCCCACTAATCCAAGCCACCATCCTGGGTTTCAGCATTATCCGCAGGTTCATATTTTTATTTTGAAAGTTACTTGATGTAACAAGAAGTCTTTTCTGTATATTTCTTTTTAACATTTTATGTTTGTAATTTGTGAATGAGTAAATGTTGAGTGTCACGCTGATCTAGCTCTGAGTTCCTTGGAAGGCTTTTGAACTGAATTTTGAAGTGTGTTGCCAAGTAATTAAGCACAGCCGCTTCGCTTTTACTAATTAACCCAGTTATTAATAGCAGCTACAATTTTACAATTTATTGTTCTAAAGATCTATACTTCATTGATGGAAACAATAAGGAAGGCCCACTTACACCACTGAACCATCTTACAAGTAAGGTGTTGCCTGGAGCCCAGATGAAAGAGCTCCTCAAAACTGGGGTGCATGATGTGGCTGGCTGCCTGCTTCTGTTCTAATCTCCTGGGTACCAGAGAGCACCAAAGACCCAAACAGTTGTGTACCCAGTTCTCATTAGCAGTGCTAAGATGTGTGTAAAGGCATGTAGAAAAACAAGCCCACTGATTTGTATACGCTGCTTTTTCTGTAATAATGCTCAGCAAGCAAATGTCACCAAAGCTATTGTTGTCAGTGATCAGAATTCCTTATTGAGCTAAACATAATACCTTAAGGAAGCGTGTAGTAGCCACAAAGCCTTCCTTGGTTACAAAGGTAGTGTAAAATATGATATATAGAGAAAATGCTTAATTTTCAATTGAAAAAAATCATTCTATTCAGTGTAGATTTGTCTACATATTTTTATGTTTTTGTGTTTTTTAGGAAAATCAAATGCCACTTGAGCATCAGTTATTGATTTGGAAAACTTACAGTTTTGTGATCTCTTTTAAAAGTGTTAGTCTTTTTTATTATGATAGCTTAGTTTTAATTTAAATGTCTTACGTAATGAATCTGAAGTTGTTTTAAATTAAAACCGCTAGGCTTTAAAGGTACCTGGTTTTATCTTCCTAAGCTTTCAAGAACATTGTAGTGTCCTTTCATAAAAGTGGCAAGGCTTATTATGAAATTCTAGACTTCTTTCTTTGAGGAGACACAAGGAGAAGAGAGCATCTTAAATTCAGTCTCCAGTCATATCACGTGTTGTATAGTGAAGAGAGAGCTAGGTTCTTTTCAAGAGCACACAGCAATAAGGATAAAAAATTGCTGGGTGTGAGAGGAGAAATTCCAGTTGTACGTATAATAAAATGAAAGTTCTCCAGAATGGGATTGGGGAAGCATTAAAACAGATTGTGCTATGAAGTCTTCTATCCTTGAGCACTTTCAGAATTTACCTGGCCAAGACTGAGAGCATTCTTGTTAGCCCTGCTTGATGAGAGTGTTTTGGACTGCCAGAACTGACGTGCCTTCTAACCTAACCTTTTCTCTTCTTCTGTGGTGGTTACTATATTTAAAAATAAATATATTTATGTATGCTTAAAATGTTTTTCTTTACTTTGGATGAATTTCACTAACATCTTCAAAGAGGGAAGAAATCTCCTCAGTCTTTCTAGTTAGGTATTTCTCCTTATCCTGGAAAGCTTAAAGCTTTCAGCTGTCACTTCCAGTGACAGTTTGTATATTGTGTTTGAATTTGGTCCCGGGAAACATATTTTAAATCACTGCTGTGAAACGATATTCTTGTTTGTCTGGTTTTGTTGTTATAACTACTGTTGATATCCTTTTTAATAGAGCTCTAGAAGAAGAAAAATTGCAAGAAGATTTAAGATAGTTATGTAAATGTGACTGTGTGTTTATCAGTTTGCAATGCTCTTGGGGCGTTTCGTTTTTTTCTTTTTTTCAGCAATATCCAGGTGTGAACCAGCTGTCCTCTTCCTTAGGAGGGTTAAGTCTGCAGCATTCTCAGCAGCCAGAAGGCTTGAGGCCTGTAAACCTTACACAGGATAGAAATATTTTACCTGTATCTTCAGTTCCAGCTCCTGTACCGAACTTGAATTCTGATCTTAGGAAATTAAACTGCAGTCCGGAGTAAGTATACTGTGTCTATGTGTTATGTGCTTCAGTGACGGCTTACTTATTTTTTGATGTTACAAATAATTTAAAGCAGGCTACTGTTTTGAAATCTTTGTAATAGTATAATTCCCTTCACTCGAAAATAAGTTTGTCATCTGCATCTTTATGCAAAATATGAAGTTGTCCTGCCATCAGAATGCTTTATATGCAGTATGAGTGTAGCTTAAAACACAAAGAAACCTGCTGCATCTTTGCCTTGTGTTATCTGTCTTTAAATAAATAAAAGAATAAACTGTATGTTCAGCCATTGTAATACTGCAATTATGATGAATGATTTTACCTCCAATTAACATCCATCTGCTATTTCAAGTCAGGTGCATCTCAATATAGTGAAAATTGCTTTCCCCCCAGGCACTTTAATTCTAGTTAGAAAAGGATATATATTCTTTGCTCCAGATTAACTCGTATGGCTGCCCTGTTGGCAGTGCACTGTCCCACCAGAAAATAGGTCAGAAATGAGGGTATAATCAGTCTTAGGCATGTACAGTACTGCTGACGCTTTGGATTTCTTTAGTACTACTTCTAATTTGAAATCAGTCCTGTACTTTGTATTGCATGAATATAAAAGGTTTCGATTATCTCGGTATTTTACGTACTCTTCTGCTGCTTTCTTTTACATAAATTTTGCTTTCTTGGACTAGTGAATGCTCGATTCCTTCTTTAGTTCCCTTGTTAAAACAAAGTAAGATTTTGAGAATGAATAAAACCTGTCATTTTAAATTAAACGTATTTAAAGCAGTTCTTTCTTTGTTTCAAGTTTGTTTTGCTGTATATGTATTACAGAACTACTTAAGTGATGTAGGGGAGTCTTCTTCAATTCTTCTGAAAGTTTTTTTTAATTCCTTTTCCATTACTCTTTAAATCAGCTTTGTAAAATACAGGTTTTCTTAAATGTCAGGGTTCTTTAAAATCAGGAGTTAACACAATGTTTTTAGCATCTTTAAAACAAAATCATTTTCAATGAAATGCTTTTATTTCTTTTCAGTTCATTTCGATGTACATTGACAAATATTCCACAGACGCAGGCTTTGTTAAATAAAGCTAAACTTCCTCTGGGTTTGCTGCTACATCCCTTCAGAGACTTAACGGTAAAGTAGCTTACTTTTTTAGTATATTTATTTAATATATTCTAATATCCTTTTTGGATCAGACAGAATAAAATAAAATGACCTGTAATTACTAAATATAACAGAAGGTGCTGAAAAAAAAAAAGTTTGGGAATCAAAAGAGAGAATTTAAATCTTGAAATTACTGCCTCATTGAAATTGATAAGGGAAAAGCTTGGGACTTGCCCTCCTTTTTTTTTTTTTTTTCCTTGTTGTTGAAATGGCGAACAAAGATTTGTTTGCCGGTGGTTTTCTGGAGCTCTGAATTGAAGTTTGGAGTGTGGGGATCAAAGCTATGGGACGCTTTTTGAAAAGGTGTTCACTGTGCTTTCTTGAAAGGCAATGCTAACATGACAGCATTTATTGTGCCAGTAATACAGGCAATAGATGCTACACACAATATAAGATTGAAAGGTAGAAACTGTGTTAAAACTGTTGAGCTGCTGTTCCATTCCATCTAGCTTGTTTATAATTATGTAAAAAGGTTGACAGGTTATCTGATACAGCCTTCTTTTATTCCTGGGAATTTTTTAGCATGTAAGGTTTGCTGTCTGAGCATCCGTGGTCCCAATTTGTCCTTTAATAACTAATCTTGCTGTAGTTAGCCTTATTACTATGGCTGACTAATTTTATTTAAAGTAGTGTAGCATCTGAGATTAATGAGTTTGGATTAAGATAATTGGAATTATTACTTCTGATCTTAAAGAGATTTTTAATAGACATTGTTACACACTGTGAAAATGGTCTAGAAAAGATCATGAAAAATGATAGAATGTCTTTTGAAGCTTTTATACACTGTGCTGCACAATAATGGTCTTCATAAAATGTATTAGCTACCTTTGTAACAACTTTCTATTCTTTTGTTGTAGCAATTACCAGTGATAACATCAAGCACAATAGTGAGGTGCAGGTCCTGCAGGACATACATCAACCCTTTTGTTTCTTTCATTGATCAAAGGAGGTGGAAATGCAATTTATGTTATAGAGTTAATGACGGTAAGTTTTGTAACAGAAGAAGCTTGCATTAATATAATATATTTCTAGTATTTGCATTGTATCACTCCGTGGGATATTCTTAAATAGATTAAAATGATAGTGATCTGAAGATGTTTTTTTAAGCATCTGGATTTTGTCAGATATTGTGCATTTCTTAAGAAAAAATCATTTTGCAATTCTGTGGGAGACTGAGAATGTAATCAAATTACCCCGGCTTATTTGTGTAATAAAATCAATTTACACCACCAACTGCCATTGTAACATGCAACTGGACGGATGATGACAGCTAAATACTGTGTGGAATCTAAGCCAGATATTATGATAAGCAGTAGAGATTGAAGCTTGTTGTGAAAGACTCAATTTGCATTCCTTCTTTGAACGTTTGGGTTATTTTGCTGTTGAAAATGAAGCTTTTTTCATTTCTAGTTTTTTAACTTTGATGTATGGGATGCTTTTTGTCTTGTATCCTTAATGCGAATATTTTTCCTCTGAATTATTGAAATCTGTCTGTGTTCATTTCAGTAATTGTTTTTATTTGCTAGCAAGCATATAAATTCTGGAAACTTTTTTTTTTTCCTAGTCCCTGAAGAATTTATGTATAATCCTCTGACGCGATCTTATGGAGAGCCGCACAAACGGCCAGAGGTCCAAAATTCTACAGTGGAGTTCATTGCTTCCTCTGACTATATGGTAATAAATTGTTGTGGTGAGCTTCCACAGAATTGCACGTTAATATAAATGCACTTGAAGTTAACGTTGAACATGGCATGTTGCTCAGGTGATATGTAGTGATTTTCCTATAAAGATACTCCAAGACCAGAGAACACTTAAAGCTCATATTTTTTTTGAGTTTTGGCAAAAGTATATATTCAATCCAGTGCACTTGAACATTACACAGTCTGTTTTGATTGTGGTACAGTGCGGTTTCTGGATTTTCCCTTTTAGTGAAGAGGTTTTGAAAAGCTGGTTGTGAAATAACAAGAGAGCTGGGTTCAAATTATTATTATGTTTCTAACCAGTAATCAACCTATGATTGCTGTAATAGTAGTCTTGTCTTAAGAATGATAAACAAAGCTTGGAAATTGGCCCTGTTCGTAATGACAGTGTTAATTGCAGCAAAAGTAAATTGCTCTTTTGAAATGGAATTGGAGCACTGTGGACAAAATGTTTGGGAATGAGTAAGTAGAGCTTGCTATGTAGTTGTAAATAGACTATTTTTAGCACAGATTAATGTATCGTGTTGTCCACATTCTGAAAGACCAATGAGTTTAGAAGAGTAAATTCTGTATCTGGGAGAAAAACTTGATGCTAGAGTTTAGTGTTGGAAGGAGAGTCTAACAAATTGTTTTTTTGTTCTGAAACATAATGTTGTATACTGTTGCAAATAAGGAGTGTTAACCACTGGGAATTATTTTTATATAAGAATTTATTCACCTGACTGTTAGTTAATTTTATTCTTTGGTACGATGTGTAGCTTGCATTATTTTAAATATTCCCTTTGTCACCCTTCTATTGACTGAAGTTCTTTAACATTTCTTTAACTATGATTTTTGTGTTTCTCTTTTTTTTATTTTTTTTTTTTTTACTTTGTAGCTTCGTCCTCCTCAGCCTGCGGTGTATTTATTTGTTCTAGATGTCTCTCATAATGCAGTGGATGCTGGATATTTGACAATAGTCTGCAATTCATTGCTGGAAAACCTGGACAAGTAAGAATATAAGTAATCTCTTAAAATTAGCTAATAAGTGATTATGAATTGTAGTAACCTAAAGTTTTGAAGACAACTTGCATATGATGTTTAAAAGTGCTGTCCCTCAGGGACAGAAGTTCACAAGATTCTGAAATGAAACATTCACGTCTTAAAAACAGGAACAGCGGTAATAACAGTACAATAAAATAGAGCAACTCAGAAGTGTCTTCCCATTTTGTGGTTAAAGGTGGATCTGTGAAGAATATAGAGCTGTAATTTCTAAGAATATGAACAAAGATGTAAAATGCTCATTTATGATTAGGAACAACAAAAATAGTTAAATGACAGATTTTGGCCAGCCTTCAGATGCTGAAACAGCTGAGATGCTGCATAATGAAGTGTTGTAACGGCTAGTGTGAAGCTGCCTAGTTGAATTGTACAGTCAGTTTGGGTTTTTTACATCAGTTAGCTGTGTCTATCTGTGCCACCTTCTGTACGTCCCTCATTTTTGCACTAGAACAACATCTGGAATTTTTGTTGGTGCTTTTTGTGGGAGGACTGATGAACTTCACTATGCTCGTGCGTCTCAAAAAATGATACACATCGTATGGAAACCTTTCTTTGGAAATTCTTTTCCACAGCATCTTATTAGGAAACTTAAAATTTTCATTTTTGATAAAGGCACCAACACATACATAAAATTCTTCACTTACAAATACTATATTAGTCTTTGTTCAGAGTCTCATTTTTAAGAAAAATCATAAAATGCCATGTGTTTGTAATGCCGTACATAAGAATATGGGCCAACCTCCCCATTTAATACGACACCCAGGGCCCCGTCCAATCTGGCCTTGCACACCTCTGGGGACAGGGCATCCACAACCTCTCTGGGCCTGTTCCAGCACCTCACTACTCTCTGCAAAGAACTTCTCTCTGACATCCAACCTAAATCTTCCCTCCTGCAACTTAAAACCATTTCCCCTTGTCCTGCAGTTATCAACCCTTTCAAAAAGTTGATTCCCCTCCTGTTTGTAGGCTCCCTTCAGGTACTGAAAGGATGCATTGAGGTCACCCCGCAGCTTTCTTTTCTCCAGGCTGTACAAGCCCAGCTTCCTCAGCCTGTCTTCATAGGGGACTGTCCTTTTCTGTTTTCTTCTCACCTTTGTAAGTGAACTGATGAACTTTAGCAGAAGCTTTACATATGTATGTTCTTTATGAGTGAGAAACATAGAGCCTAATAGTTGTCTTTTTCTTCTACTAATGCTTAGGCTGCCTGGAGACTCAAGAACAAGAATAGGATTCATAACATTTGACAGCACTGTTCAGTTTTACAACTTGCAAGAAGGTTTATCTCAGCCTCAGATGCTCATTGTTTCAGATATTGATGGTAAGTCACAAGAAAGCGGAGACATAAATTTTTGTATTTTGTCCCTCTAACAGAAAGATTTGAGTCTCTTGAATATTCCAGTGTTAGGTGAATTTTATTGAATTTATAGGGAATATATTTTTGAAAAATAATCATATGCTATCTATGATGCTTAAAAAGTGAAAATCAAACATTAACTTGGCTTTGAATAAAGCAAGCTTTGTAAAGGTTACTTAGCTCTCAGAAAAGTAGATGTTATTTGGTGGCAGTTACAGCAGTGAGCAATGAAATGTTTTGTTCTATGTTAATGTTGTTGTTTCCTTATTAACTTTTTTCCCTTTTTTCTACAGATATTTTCCTACCTACACCAGATGGCTTACTAGTAAACCTCCATGAAAGCAAAGAGGTATGGTTACTCAAAATTAGCTTATCACAGTTAAGCAGTTAAATATTCATAATGAAAGTTCCTTTTAAAGTTTGAATTCAAGACTATCTGCGTAATGTGTAAATGTAATGTTACTTCCTAGCTATAAAAAATATTACACTTCATTTGGCATGTCATTTTTTAGCATTACTATTTTGTTTTCCCCTCTCGAAACTAAGCTATTTGGTATTGATTGTTACGGCAAAACAACTTGTTAGAAATAGCAGAAAATCTGAAGCTTGCAAATCTCATAAACAGCTTTTAATCTGTCTTTGCAGCTAATAAAAGATCTGTTGAATGCATTGCCAAATATGTTCACTAATACAAGAGAAACGCACAGCGCCTTGGGCTCTGCTCTTCAGGCTGCATTTAAACTGATGTCTCCAACGGGAGGTCGGATATCTGTTTTTCAAACTCAGTTACCATCCTTGGGTGCAGGGCTTTTGCATTCCAGAGAAGATCCCAATCAAAGGTCGAGCACAAAGGTATAAAAGCTTAGGTATACATCTCAGGAGTCTAGTGACTGGGCACGTCTCTCTGACTTGCAGAGCTTGCAGATCATTATTGCAGTTCACTAAATTTGAAATGCACAGAGTTAACAAATGTGTGCGGTGACTAATTTAAGCATACATTTGTGGTACTGCGCGTGAGCTGTTCTTTGGGCCTTTGGTGTAGAACTTTTCTTGACATGGAAAAGAAAGCGTGTGCATCTTCTAATCCGTTTGTCATCAGCTTGGGCTTTGAGTGTACATAACAGGAATGTATTGACCTGTACACTTCAAACATGATTTCTTAATGTATTTATAAGGCCGACAACAATATCTACGAGTTTATGTGTAATTATATTAACTTTTATTTGCATGAGTGTGTAAACTTCTCTAAAAGGATTATAACTGCTTATAAAGGTGAACTAAAGTAACATGCAACATAAAATTTTATTTAAAAGTGCCTATAAAGAATTGCTTACAGGTAACTTTTGCTATTAAACAGTGCGTCTGTTGTTTCTTAATGTCTTAAGGGAGCACATTCAGCGATCTAATTCTTTCCTGTGTAATTTTTCACCAAAGGTGGTCCAGCATCTTGGTCCAGCAACAGATTTCTATAAAAAGTTGGCATTGGACTGCTCAGGCCAGCAGACTGCTGTGGATTTATTTCTCTTAAGTTCACAATATTCTGATCTAGCTTCCCTTGGTAAGGAGTACCTAACACATGTATTTATTCCTTCCATAGTGTTTGTTTGTTTGTTTCATTCTTTAATTGTGTCACTCATTTTGCACTTCTGTAAATGCAACTAATGCTGCTGAGGCGTTGACTTTGAAGTTGATATCAGTAAAGAACAGGAGTATTGGATTAGTGTCATCAAAGATAATTTATTCTGAGGAGATCTCAGGTTTAAACCAGGAAGTACCTTTCTACTCAAACACAGAAAGCAGTCTGACGGCAGGAAATGAATGAAGTTCAATCAGAGGAGAGCTGTGAGCTGTTCTCACCTTTCTGTACTAAGCCAAAATTTGTCTGTGCACAGCTTTGATAGAGCAGACAACCAGTATTTGGATGTGCACTCCTGTCTTAGTTGCTGAAGGTAGTTGGGGATGTTGAAGTAAATGGTCACTGTGTGTTGAAGTGACAATATTACTGTCTTCAGTGAACTGAGTCACAGACAGTTCTTGTCATACAGATGTAGTTCACATCGGGGAAAAAGGTCAATAGAGATGTGGCTTGCAGAACATTGTATGCAATTTTTACGTCTTGGTTTACTTCTTCACCGTATCTTTTTGTTCTTCACAGCTTGCATGTCCAAGTACTCTGCAGGATGCATCTATTATTACCCATCTTTCCACCATAGCCATAATCCTGCTCAGGCTGAAAAACTGCAGAAAGACCTTAAAAGATACCTTACCAGGAAGATAGGATTTGAGGCGGTTATGCGCATAAGATGTACAAAAGGTATATTAAGATACTGTTACATGTGAGAAAGTTGATGTAAACATTTGAACTGTTATTTTGAATGTGCTTATCTTTTACGGAAGAATAAGATACTGGCAACTTCCACAGCAGCTGTTGCATTAGCATTTTCCATTTGGGTAATGGGGTCTTTTTTTTTTTTTTTTTTTTCCCCCGCTTTGTTTAGTTAAGATTGTGCCATTTCAGTTTCAATTTAGTTGAAATGTATAGTGTAAGAGCAGTAGTCAGTTTGGAGTGTCAGAATTGAACGTGAAATCTACAGGATCACTCTGAAATGTCTAATGAGTGTAGTAATTGATTCTGCTTAATATTTGGTGTAAATATTTTCAGTATATGTTTCTGTGTTTTTAAACATAGAGTGCTTGTGGGCTTTAAATATTTACCAGAATTTTTCACACTGTTAACTGTACTGTCTGAATTATTTGATCTACTTGTAGGTCTCTCAATACACACTTTTCATGGGAACTTTTTTGTCCGATCTACTGACTTACTGTCTCTCGCCAACGTCAATCCTGATGCTGGGTTTGCAGTACAAATGTCCATTGAGGAGAGTCTGACTGACACATCTTTAGCTTGTTTTCAAACTGCTCTTTTGTACACTTCCAGCAAAGGTAATGAGATTCAAATGAATTTGCCACTGTTTGCACTTGTTTTGTTTTTACTATGATGTTTGTATAGCTAGTTGCACAGGTCTTTGTTTGTCTTCGTAGCCTAGGGGAATCTTGTCAAAATTAAGGAGCCTGCTTGGCAGTTAGTCACATTCAGTAAGTCTTCACAAACACTATTTTGCTGGAGGTTGATAGTTTATCTCCATTTTAAGTAAAGTAATCTTGCTGAAGAATTTTATTTAAAAGTCATACTACTGTTTTAAGCAGTAACGTGTTTGACATTTCATGCGGAATCAGAGCTAGGAGAGTGATGTACTTGAGCCAGTTTCTAGTATTTTGAGTGGGCATAAAGAATAGCAGCCACTTTCTGTTGTGGAAGATGTCTTCCCAAAATTTTGGAATGGAAAGCTACGTACTTTGTCTGTAGGATCAAAACACAGTTTACTGCTTTGTTATGAACCTGTTCTGACACATAAGTTAAATACTTTAGAGCCTTTCTGAATTAAAGACAAGGGTAGGAGATGATGATACAGCAAATTCCCTGACTAGTGTTCTTTTTACGAAGAGCTTGTATCTCAGATGAGAGGAAATAGGATCTCCTGTTGTATATCGTCTGCTGCCAATGAATACTGTGTGATGATTCCTACTTTTTTTTTGTAGGTGAACGTCGAATTCGAGTGCACACACTTTGCTTGCCTGTAGTAAATTCACTGACTGATGTGTATGCAGGAGCTGATGTACAAGCAGTTGTATGCCTCTTAGCAAACATGGGTGAGTACAGGTCAGAAAGATTAAAATATCTTTTCTCCTGTTCTCTTTAAACAAATTTGTGAATGAGGCCTGGCTATTCCTTTTCCTGTTGGTTTTCCTGTGCTTGAAAAAGAAAGGAACAAGATGAGAGTACTTCTGATGTTCTCTTCTATGTGTTAGTTTCCTGTCATTGCTGGGTTGAGGAGCCTTGCTGATCTCCTACTTGCTGGTCACCAGTTGCTACTTCAGTAGCAGAATGATCTCTGCCATGGAATGTGTATGGCTCGGTAGGATTCTAGTGTATGGCAAAAAAATCAGAAAAAAATAAACAGTACTTCTGTATGTTCTTGTAAATGTGCATTCAGTCCAGCAGGTGGCTTCCTCCAACCAAAAGATTTGTAGCCCTTTCTTAGCAGAGAAAAGTGAAGTTCAAGTTGCCCTATCCATTGTGCCGTTGAAGTGATGGGAGAAAATGCATCTGTATACCACAGATTAAACATATTATTAGAACTCCTCAAGAACGGGAATGAGAAAGTACAGATCAGCGTGGTGCTTTTTTTTTTTTTTTTTTTTTTTTTTTTTTTTTTTTTTTTTTTCCCTTTGAGCATCATGAAAGGGATCTTTTCTCTATGGAAAATGGAGCAAATGAATTAAACTCTAGTAACTTCTTTTATCCTTCTATCCAACAGCTGTGGATCGCTCAGTTTCATCTAGTCTTCCAGACGCAAGAGATGCCTTAGTTAATGCTGTGGTAGACTCTTTGTCAGCATATATGTCAACTGCCTCAAACCTGCAGCAGTCTATGCTGATAGCACCAAATTCCCTCAAGTTGTTTCCACTCTATGTTTTGGCTCTCCTCAAACAGGTGTGTGTAAGTTAGAGCTATTGATGTTTGATTCGTGGTACAGTTTGAGTAATTTTTCACCTAGATCAAGCAGTGTCTGTCTTATGCTATAATTATCCAAAACTGTATATATAGTTTAATTATATATGTATATGTTTAATTGAACTTGAAGGATCAAAACAAAAATTAGCTTATTTAAATTATTAGTGCTGGAACAGGTTTTTGTTTTACTTGAATTTGTAGTTTTTAACAGATATATATATATATTTTTTTTTAACTATGTGTGTATGTATAGTATATAAAAAATACATAGTAACAGTAATTCTTAGGTTCTTGGCAACTAATTAATGGTGCCCAAAGGGATTCTCGTAAGCCATTTACTAGTAATTCATTTTATTTTATGAAGAAGAAAACCAATAGTTTTCAGTACATATTCTTTGTACTTTCACGTACTAAGAAGGAAAATTAGTTACTGAGGAAAAAGGGAATATTTTAAAGTTATTGTAAAATTAGTTACTGGTTTTTTTTTTTTTTTTTTTTTTTAAGAAATGTCTTCATTCTTTCTTAAAGAACTCATTACTTGCATATAGTGAGAGCTTACCATACACAGACTTTTATGTTCGATAAATGTCTTAGCTTTAAGAGTGTTGTTTGATAGTTGAATGTTCGTTCTTATTACAAACAAAGCTTTCTGTAAGTTCAGTTGTAAATCGTACTGAAATCAGTTTTTCTTTGATGTAGCGATGACTTTAGTGACTAATATACTGATTAGGTCTTTTTAACCATTACGTCAGTTAGAATGAGGAAAAAATGACCATTTGATATCAGGAGAATCCGTGTAAAAGACAGAGTAGAAGTAATAGGGGCTGTGGAAATAGTTCAGTGCAGTTTTAGAGTTATCTCCATTAACAATAATAAAAAAGCCTGAAATAAAGGAAAACTGAAACTGGAAGAAAAAAAATGACTGGCATGCATAGCTTTGGTAGAGAAGTGAATTTGCATTTTGATTATAGGAATATTGTTCTCCTTTCAGTCAGGCGCTTTCTCCGTCGTGTTGTTTCTCACAGCAGTAGTTTACCAGTTGTTCCTAAAAAGAGCTGAAATGTTAATAGTAAGGAGAGTTATAAAATGAAAGTTATCCTATGATTACCTACTTTCTGCTACAAAATGTGCAAGTATATTTCCATCCGGGAGCTTTTCCTTAACATTTTATTTTTAGTAATATAAAATCAGATTTAATCTTATCCTTGCAAGTATCATTTTTGAACTCTACTGGGTTCTTACCTTCCTGTGGTCATTGTGTCAGTGAGTAAGTCAGTAAGGCTTGTCCAGAATGAAAATGAGAAATGCCAACCGTGTACAAATGTTACATGAAATAGAGGCATTTTAAAAATTTTTTCTTTTTCATCTGTAAGGAGGGATAAGTGATTAATTTTGTAATGTTATTCTATTCAAGTTGCATTTGAAGGAATTTTCTAGCGTAGTGCTAGTATTTCATTTTAAAAATTGGTTTTTTTTTTAATGTCTGAGACAGGTATGCTTGACGCTACCAAAATTTAGGAAATAGGCTATTTAGGTGTGACATAAAACACGGGATTTATTTGAGTAACTATGTTTTTTTTCTTTTTTTTTTTTTCCACAGAAAGCTTTTAGAACAGGCACTAGTACGCGCTTAGATGATCGTGTTTATGCAATGTGCCAGATAAAGAGTCAGCCTCTTGTCCACATGATGAAAATGATACATCCCAACCTGTACAGAATAGACAAGTTGATTGAAGAGGTAATGTATGAAGCCTAACTTGTAACATTTTCAAGCTGTAATGGAGCGTCTTTTAAGCTTTAATGTGTTACAGTAATTTGTAAACCAGGCATTTTTCACATGCGTGCTGAAGAGAACTTCGGTTTTTTCTTCATCTTGTTTCAGTGACTACAATAATTCCACGGTTTTCAATCATATAAAGAAAGCAGAGATTCTATGCTTTAGATGCATATTCAGTGTGTTTTAGTTTTAGAGTTGTCTGAGGAGAAATGGATGAAATATAATGAGTACATAGTATTTTTCTTGTGTGCTGAAACCAGATCAAGATGGCTGGTTTAACCAGCTTTCAGACGTTTCTGTGCTGTGGATGAAGTCTAGACTATCAAGATCAGTCCCATTAAATATTTTAAGAAGAAAACTAGTTTTTAATTATGTGCCCTTTACGGAGGTGGTTTAGGAAATGAATTTAGTGGTAAGAAGTAAGATGAAATTTCACTTATAAGCAAAGGCAGCTGTAACTGAAAGTAAGTTAGTTTTGTTTTTAATTGTTTTCTTGATCAGTCTTGATCAATTGTGATCAGTCATGCTTACTTACAACCCTTACATTAGCTTTGCAAAAAAAAAAAAAAGAACATGACATGTAAGTGTTCATTTTTAAGTATCATACAAACTTATATAGGCAATTGAGTACTTGCTCTGGCAATTAATATCGTTCAGCACAACGTGTAAGCTATTTACCTTGTCAAACTGTCTTTTAAATTATTCCATAAATTCACAGTATTCTTCAGCAGTATTGACTTGTGAGGTTTTTCAGATTTTTTTTTTTTTTTGTTCCCCCTATTAGAAGTGAATTTCAAGTAGCCCTATCGAGATCGTTTCCGCACAAGTGCCATTAACAACACTGCATTTCAGAGTCTGAGTGCTGTAAAAAAGCAAAACAAAGACAACCAACAGCAGCAATCTTTTTTGGGAGATTCAATTTTATTTGCAAAGGATTTCAGATTAGTCGCTTCCAGTGGAACAATAAAGCATAGGGTCTATTTAACCTACTGATGTTAGTTAAGCCTCATGTTAAATTACGTAAAGGAGTGTTAATCTGCTGTTTAATATTGGCTCACTTTGAAATATTAATGTGAATTGCTGCTCTTAGATCTCTTTCTGTAGAAAATTGTAAGCTTTAAAAAAATTGCAAATTTTTCTGTTAATACTCAATTCTTGGACTATTAAGCATAGTATGGAACTTCTACAAGTGAACTACAGTAGCTTAATTTTCATGTTTGCATATAAATCCTGATTTCTTTTGTATTATAATATGGAATTTTTATTTATTTATTTGTTTGTTTGTAGTCTTGTTCTGCGTGGGGATGTGTTTAGCCTCCAGAATGTGTTGCTCCTTATTCACTAAATGTTTCACAGGTTTCTTCGTAGCTATTTAGCTTTATCCCATTTTAATCTGAAATATGGCTGGATGTTGTTTTGACTCATTGGTTTAAGTTTTTTTCAGCATTGCTCTGGCTTAATGAACTTATCATCTAAAAAAAAAAGAATAATATAAAGCAAGCTTTGGTTAAATGACAAGTTAGAATTTGTTGATACAAGTGTGATCATATAGATTGAATGTAGCATTTTTTACATGAGAATGCTCAAAATGTTGCTGGAGATTACCTGTGCTTTTTCTTCTTTTGGCACATCAGGTTAAGACAAAAATAATGATGTACGAAATTTTTTTTTATATTACTGTGTTACTGCCTGTTGTTTTCTTTACAGAGTACAATACATGTGAATGACAGAGTTGTTCCTCAGCCTCCTCTTCAGAAGTTATCTGCAGAGAAGTTGACAAGAGAAGGAGCTTTCCTTATGGATTGTGGTTCAGTAAGTTACTAGTTTTATATATTCAAGATGCACTCCGAATTGTTGAAAGCAGTCAGTTTTCAACAATAGTTCCGGTGTTCATATTTTGGCCTCTGGAACATCTATAATACAGATTGTATATTAAGTTGCAAAATGTTCCTTTTTTCACACTAAATAAATTGGCCAAGAGTTTGTATCGACTCTTTTTTCTGACAATAATGTATTTCCATTTTCAAAAGTTTATTTTAATGGATATTAAACTGCAGGGGCTGAAGTCTGTCTAACAAAGCACTTAGCCATCGAGGGGGGCGCTTTCTCAGTTATGCACAACTCTCAGTGGTTTTATGGTATGTGGCTCACATGAGGTAAGAGTTGCAAGAACAGGGGAGTTGTAGGACTTGATTAAAACCTGTAAATACAGTTGAAGTTAATCTTAGGAATTACCCCAAAAACACTTACTGGTACAAAACATGCTACTCCTGTAATGCGATAAAATATTACACTGCTCTAATGGCACTGTAGAAGGAAAGCACTTGAGGGTTCTGGAGCTAAGTGTGAATGTCAAACTAGTTGCTCTCTCCTTAGGTCAGCAGTAATTGTTTCAGTGTGTTTTGATACATGCTGCTTTGTGTAACTTGTTGAGAGTGGAAGTCCGTGTGCAGAATTGGATCCGGTGTGCGACTTTAGTTCTAGGTTTTCTATTTTATGAGGTAAAATGCATTAACTGTACCAACATAGACACATCCTGCATCCTTGCTCTTTCCTTATTTGCATTTTAACTTAATTTTTTTTTTCTTTTTTTACTTTTAATGATCTTACTCCAAATGGTACCAATTATTCCTAAGGTAGGGTTGAATTAATGAATATAGAAGTGGAGTGCAGCTGGTGACACAAGCTCTCAGGTGATAAATTTGCATGAATAGTGTTTCCTGGTATTATTGTAATTACGTTACTACCTGTCTCCTTTTCTAAAATGTAGGTACTAACCTTTATTTAAACTGATTCTGATATCTTACAGAATTTTTATATTTGGATTGGAAAGAACTGTGATAACAACTTCATAAAAGATGTCCTCGGATATCCAAACTATGCGTCAATACCCCAGAGAATGGTAAGCATTTACTGATCTGTCCTGCTTAGTGCTTACATTTGGAATCTGTCAGTTTTTAATCATGCAATTGAGAATAAGATTATTTTTTTTTTTTATAACTCGTGTCTCACTTCTTGACAACTCCCTAGGATGCAGAAGTTGTCAAAAGCTTTTAAGGAAAGAATGTACATGTGTTCACTGAATGACAAAAATTATTCATTAACATTACTGCTTTTGGGACTTCTGTGGGATTATTTGTTTTTTTTTAATGCACGTGGGCTTACAAAAACAGTGTGAAATTTTGCAGATAACTTTTCTTGGACCTTTTTTTAAGGTATTCGAGTAAAGTTCTGAATGGAATTGTTGCATTTGTGATTTCTAAAAGCTAAATCTAAATGTGTTTTTGTGGAAGCGCATAGGAAGAAATTTGCTGCTCATAGAGCTTGAATAGCATGAAGGGAAAGAACAAATGAAATTGGAAGTTATGAGAACAGGTCAGAAAGATCGGTGAGCTTTAAGACTGCTATAAAATTGAATGCTTGTTAAGGGTTTTCTATTTTGTTCATATTAGCAACTTAAAATTGTTTCCTTGTATTATAACTGGTGGTAGAATTAGTTGACGTTGTTTTCAGGAAACAAAATGAGAGGATGGTTAAGAAAGTATCAGGTGGTTAGATAGCATTTATTTTAATGAAAAACGAGAGAAAAAAACTAACACGTGAGTGTTCATCTCTGCTTTTAAACTATATCCTTTACTCATTTACTACAAAGGCAGCAGCAGAACTGTTTTTAAATGTGTGGAGTTTTTCCACCGTATTAGTCATCTTACGTTGTATCAGAGCAGGAGGCAGTGTATTTATCTCAGTGAGTGACTCAAGCAAGCTGACGTTTTGTTTGGTTTTAGCTCATTCCCAATCAAATAGTCAGCTGTCATCTTTGCTTACGATTCAGATTTTGTTTCTCTGTGTTTTATTTCACCTCTCAGTAGTGCGAAAGGCAATTCAGAGGAACTTGGTCGACAGGGGAAGAAAGCAGGGAAAATGTGCAAGCAGCATTTTAAAAGGATTATTTCCTCAATGAGCTCACTTTCTAAAATCTTTGGCACTTCAAAGGCAACTTAGGTTAAAGGTGTGTTACGTCCTGTATAACAGATAAATGCCAAAATTCTGTACTTAAGCTGAAGAGAAAATACGGCTACGTAGTACGCAGTAATTTTGTAATAGAAATGGTGGCTATTTTGTCGTTGGGTCACGTTGTGAATTTCAGGATCTGTTTATTAAGATAATTTTGATAATAAATGAAAACTTCTTTCCATTTCTTTCAACCAGACGCAGCTTCCCGAGATAGATGCACTTTCTTCAGAAAGGACACGATCTTTCATATCCTGGCTTAGAGACAACAGACCTTTAAGTCCAGTTCTTCAAGTAATAAAGTAAGTATCTCATTTAGATATTGAGTAATTATTGGCGGGTTGCGTTTACAACTTGTTGTTGACAGCGATAAAAAGTTGGAGTATCTAGGTCAGAAGAAATTAAATACTGTCCCCTCTCCAGAGGATATGATGTTGTTGTCTAAAACCCCTTCACAATGGAAATATGTAAGTTCTGGTTTTAATCTGTGTCGAGTTTTAGTGTAATGTTTTCAGAGCTCATTGCCATCAACATAACTTGCAACTTGGAAAAACTAATTCATTTTTACGCTTCCGTTCTGACATTGCTATGAGACACTTGAAATATCGCCTGCTTTTCTCTCACGTTATCTGTTAAAAAGATCACAGAATTATAGGGGTTAAGGGGCCTCTAGAGATCGAGCCCAACCCCCTAAGACGCTGCTGCTTGACTGTATATTGCAGAATTGAGATCACTTCCCTAAGAGTTGTTTTTTAACTTTGGGTTATTTCTTCTGTAGTGCATTTAAGCTGAGTTTGAAATTCAAAAGAAGAGTTAGAAATGCAGTAGAACTTACGTCCCTATGTAAATTTACAGTAGATTTCAGTTTGCTCAATGTTAGGATTAAAAGACCTCCTTCTGTTCTTTCAGGGATGAAAATCCTGCCAAAACAGATTTTTTTCAGCATTTAATTGAAGATCGGACAGAAGCAGCTTTCTCTTATTACGAATTCTTACTGCATATTCAACAGCAGATTTGTAAGTGAACAAAAAATAGACCGGAAAAAAAGAACCCAGCTCCAGGTAGCATTGGCCGAGAGAAGCGTACGGGAAGCGGCAGAAGTGGGTGTTTGTTCTTCACGATATGTAGTAACCAGGACTGTTCTGGAAACTTTACAGCTGAAGTAGAAGTGTACGTTTCCAGAGGAATTTTCCAGATATACTTCAGTGTAAAAGTGCTAGGAGCAATGGAGCTGTTTCACTAGTAATCTTTGAATTGGTTTATACACGTTTCCAGTAGTGCAGCGGTATGGTGCTCTGTTTATTGCAAGCTGGTGAATTTATGTAGCTATGTGGGATATTTCCTAACGAAATGTACAATTAAGTAAAGCCTTTTTTCTTACGTTTGTTATGGTAGCCCTTCAAAATTCGAATTCTTAACCAAGATGTCAAAGGGCAGTGCTGTATGTTGGTTGTTTATATGAATTTCTTTTTAAAAGGAATGATTCGTATTTACTAGAGACTTCAGCAAATTCCCTGCGAAAGTTGTAGAATTTCACTAAAGTAAAATAATTGTAGAAATGAAATATATAATGTACATAAGTGTTACATTTGTAAAGAAAATGTAAAAATGTAACTAAAAAAAGACTTAGTTTAGTGTATGGAATTGTTGAGTGTTCAATGATGAATTGTTTCGGTCTCAAGTTGACTATTAAAACATGCTTAAAAAAAATCCGTGTAGAAAGAACACAACTTCTTGTTCCGTTTAATTTTTAGGCGAATTTATTTCTGATTGGCTTACTAATTAAAAATATTTTGCTTTATCGTGTCTTTTTTATATCTCTGCAAGTATCACGTTTTTGCAACTGAACTCTAACTGAACGACATGCCGTGGAGAACATGCTTACCACTTTTTCTTCACAGACATCCAAAACCGTGGAATGGTTTTAAACTGAGACAGGGGCAGTTTGGGTTAGATATGAGGAGGAAGTTTTTCACACGGGAGTGGTGACACACTGGAACATGTCGCCCAAGGAGGTTGTGGATGCCCCACCCCTGGAGGCATTCAAGGCCAGGCTGGATGTGGCTCTGGGCACCCTGGTCTGGTGGCTGGCGACTCTGCACACAGCAGAGGGTTGAAACTTGATGATCTTTGAGGTCCTTCTCAACCCAGGCCATTCTATGGTTTTCTAACCTGGAAGGGAGGAACAAACGTTGCATAATCTGAAATGAGCTATCAATACAATGGCTAAAGTTGCTGAAACTCTCCCTGTGTGTTAACCTAAAGACATATCTGTTAACCTTATTTATTTTTTGTAAACTGCTATAGTCTCGGTTCAGGCTTCTGTACTTTATTTTGTCTGCAATTAGAGTAAACAGAGGTAGTCACCCAGTCTGACCTGATGCAATTATTTCTGCTGTGATATAGAGAGGAAAAAACAAGGGAGGAGGAGAATAAATGAACTTGCAACAATGAAAGTGAAGGTATTAAAATGACTTTAAATTGCCAAATGACATAATTGTTTCATCTTTCTGAAGCTGTCTTCTTGTTAATGTTTTATCATATGGTGGAGTTTCAGATAGAATTAGCCCAGATTTCTAAGTTTTGATTCAAAGTTAGGATGGTGTGGTTTTCTTTTGGGTTGGTTTTGTTTGTTTTTTTTCTTTTGAGGTATAATAGAAATAATACACAAAGCATAGTCAATCATGCGTAGTAGTTGGAACTTTTTCGTTTGCTTAAGGAAATGTGACTAAAATGAAATAAGTATCCCAAGGTAATTGGTACGATTGCATTTTATTTTAAAGTGGTATTTTAAACTATTAACATGTTGCGTAACTACCGTATCCCCTGGAAACAGACCTTGAGTAGTCAAGAGAAAAAATGTACTAGCTATGGTTTGTAAATGCTTTAAAAGCTACACTACTTAAGCTGTTCAAGTGTTATTCTGCATGTTAGCACCAACTCACTGTTTGGAGGAAATACAATTTGTGTGTTGTCTTTAAATGTGTTTAAGTTGCCCAAAGATTACTTGACAAAAAAAATCTGTTTAGTAAATGATCATGTAATAAATGTCTGTGGCAATGCTGAATGTTGTTTCTAAGTCAGACCACAAGGATTTCAGTACCAACGTGCTTCTTCGTAGACGACTTTGCAGTAATGAAGGCTATTTGCTGAAGAGTGGAGCATTTCAAATATCACTTGTAATTGCAAAGAGGATAAGAACATCTTTAGGTTGAAATGCCTCATGATATCTGCTTTTCATTTGTATATGTAATCACTTCTGTGGAATCACAAGGTAAAGTTCCAGCCGGAAGAGAGTAATGTAAAGACAGGCTATTGGACCCATGTCATTCTGAGGCAATTAACATGCTTGTTACATGAAAGTTGATGGCCTGTAGATATAATTTCAAGTACTGAAACGCATTACTGCAGCTGTTCAGCTCTTAGATGCCAAGGTCAAGCAAAGCATCAGATTATGTTCACCTCACTTGTTCAAACACTGACTGTTCTATGTTTTTTTCCCCTTTATTTTAAATTTTTGGGTGGTTCTATTTGCTCGCGTGTCGCTGGCTCCTCTGTCACCGTCATGAGGATGGGAAGAGTTTTGCTGCAGTTCTGGAAGGAGAGGTCGGAGCACTCATGGACGGCTCGGGAGGGCAGAGCTTGGCACTGGTCACACTCACTCTTGGTGTGCTCTGGTGCCACATTCTCCAGCTCATTTTCATGCCGTGAGCTGCGATGGAGATCATGTACTACGGAGATGCTCAGGTGTTACTGTGACGGTGAGCAGGTGTATAAGCACATGTTTAAGTGTATTTGTATGCTGTGCTTTTGAGCAATAAAGAAGCTACCTCGGGGGTAAATCAGCCACTCTGAAATGTGTCGTTTTTGCTGTAATTTTTCTGTGAGGGAGCAAATTGCTATCATCAAGAGCAAGGATCCTCACCCGCCCCTTTTCCAGCTCAGCAGCCGGTCGAAATCCTCACCTTCTTTGATGGCTCTGATTAGCCGTTATGCTTTCTGTATAATATGTATAGAAATCATTCGTAATTTTATCGAGTTCCCTTTTTAGATACATGAGTTGATTTTCATAGCATAACTTTTTCTTTCTGAGAAGCACGGACACAGTTCTTCAGGCTGAGCGAAGCGCGTTTTGTTTTTTGGGCAGGCCTTATAATTGCTGCACAGAATTTTGTTCCCAGAAGGATGTGATTTGCGTTGGTAGAGTCACAGATTTGTAATGCCACAGTTATTTGGCGCGTGCTGAAACTTTGTGGCTGCCAGCTGTTTTGCTTCCTCCTGGCTTGCGTGTGTTAACTCCGTGCTCAGAGAAATGCTCTGCTTCCACTGCTCTTGGAGTGTTCCTGTTACTGAAGAGTTCCTGTTACTGTATCGTTATGGAGAACAGATGTGTTAGCACAATCAAGCGGACAATTGCCATTTTTTATTGGCTGTTGACAAACAGTCTGAGTCATAAAACACTACAAGGAATGATTTTTTAATTATTTTTTAAATACAGTCAAGTTCGATACCAGTTTGACACTGCAGAGAAACTCAGATGGATTTGCATTGTGCAGCCATTCACCTACATGAGATTTCCAATTTAGTTCATGCTGTGGATATCTGTACCAGGCTGCTTGCAGGCCCCAGGGTTTTCAGCTGCTGTTGAAAACAAAGCCTGAGTTATGAGTTGCCTGTAGCTTTGTAAAACCAGGTTCCCTTGCAGTTGTACAGTCCCCTTTACCAAAACTGTTTTTGTGCTGCATGGAGTTGCTGGTATGGCGACAGCGTCTCCTGCGAGGGGCAGGCAGGAGACTCCGTCACGAGAGAGTAAGGAGAGAACTGCAATGGGAAGGCTGTTTTTTACAAAGCAGGAGTTCTGTTCAACGTCATTAATTCAGCATGTGTCATGCTTTTACGTGTGGGATTCTCTTAATTGTACATCCACGCCATAACAGTCGCATGTAAGCTACAAGATGGGTTTGCGAGCGTGCCCGTGAAAAGTGCTACAGATTTGTTTTCCTTCCATGTTAGGAAATGGTGTATGCGTGTTGCTGAGGAAAGGATTCTTCCTATTGCAAACTGCAGCCAGGTGGGGAGCCACTGGCTTTGGTTACCTGCAGAAAGCAAGGCAGTGAGTAGTTTTGGTTTTGTTGTTCCCAGTGTCACCTCTGTCTGTCAGAAATGCTTCTTTTAGTGTTCTCAGCTGACAAACTATTGGCTATCACACTCTTCAATCTGTCCCTAACTTTGTCTTGCCCTTCCTGTGAATGACTTCTGGATACTTGTGTTTTCTCCTACATTGTCATCACCCTTTTAGTGTTACTCATTTCCAGTCTGTCCTTTGTTTTTAAGCAGTGTGGGAATCATCAATCTAGATGCATTGAATAGCCACAGGAGAACTTAAAATAGGTTTTTTCTTTTTTTCCTTGCTCTGTTGTTTCCTTTTGTCCCCTCCCAAGATTGTCCAGCAAGCTAGCAACTCTAGGACATCACAGGCAGCTACGTAAGAAGCGGGTCTTGATGACTGTCTTGTGTGGTTGAGTATTCCGCTTAAACGCGCTTTGTCCCTGCTGTGTATTTGCAGCCTAAATGGATCCCGTGGAAACGGAGGTATAATTGAAGCTGAAAGCTTTCCACTTCTTTTCCTTTTCTTTCTATGACATAAATTTGCTTGATGATCCAAACCTTGTTTTCCAATTCAGAAACCTTGTGCTTTAACTGGAGCATCTCACCAACATCACACGCTGTTCCTTCCAGCACTTTGGCCAAGGCTTTTTTCTGTACCTGTGAAAAGACTGATTAACTCAAAACCTTACAGAATATCTGCAAAATTGCTCTGCAAATGCCTCAGAAGCGCTGAAGATTTACTACAAATCACTGCCAGAGTGCTAATACTTAGGGCTGTTTACAAATGTAGCGCGTGTGTTAGCATTAGTCTCTTCTCATTATGCTTTTCTTTTTTTTTTTTTTTACTTCTTTCTTTATGTTCTTTTTATGTATTAAAATCTCTTGTGGCACTGGAGAGAAAGCAAACAGTATGCATGTTCTCAGCACCCTCTGCCTGAAGGGAAAGGAGCTAAAGGAGAGTTAATGTAATTGTTAGAGCCAGAGTCGATTGCTCCAGGATCTTTTCCAGCGTGGCGACATACTGCAAGTTAGTAGCAGAGATAATTTCTCATTGATTGCTGGCTGGCAGCAGGCTTACTGCAATCAGGTGGGAAGGCAGTAAGCTCTTCCAAGCCTGGAGGTGTTTCACAGTCTTGTTGCAATACAGCATTCATTATGAGATGCCTCTGTTTAAGGGCATCTAACACCAGCACTGGCTCTGGGTTGACTCCCTTCTGCTTTCCGGTAAGATGAAAGGGAGAGACAGGCTCTCTCCCAAGCTAAATGTCCTAAGCCGGGGCAGTGAGCCCTATGAACAGTTAAGGCCTTTGTTCTCTGAGCTGGAAAGGGAAAGCTAGGAATATGACAGCTCTCAGTCCTGCCAGTTACTTGCTGTGACCTTTTCCGTCCTCGTCTGACTCGCACATCCCGGATCATCTCAGCACTGCACCTGAAAGTGCAGACATTGCCATCTGCAGAGTGCTTTGTGTCTGCCAGACTGACTGCTGCTTCCTGTGGTGTGGAAATATCGACGTGCTCTATAAATGTGCAGCTGTGCATCACTTGTAACTGATTGAGTATATGAGTAATTTGTGGTACTTTTGCTGTGAGGATAGATGGCTCACAGGGAAGGGAACAAGGACGTGAAATCCAGGATTCCCAAGGGTTGGGGAGCTGTGGGTTATGACTCTGAAAGTCGAGTTTGTGTCTGGTAAGCGATTCCCTCCTATTAGAGTGGCTTTATCTGCTATAACACAATAGCTAAAGAAGACAATAGAAAACAAAAGTGAACATTGATTGGCCACTTGTCTGCTTAAGATTTTATCTCTTCTTTTTGGTCCATGAACCAATTGATGTGCGCCTGGCTGGCTGGGTGAGCAGTCCCATGCTCTGCACGGCCATATCAAGTGTCAGCTGGCAGTGTGTGGTAAACAGTGTTGTGCCAGCGTGATGGTGCACAACCTTCTGCTGCTGGCGAGGGAACGTGTAGTGCTCCCTTCAATGAGGAAAGAAACGTTTCACTGTGAAAACAGGGAACTCGCGCTTTTAGAAGCTGCATGCATCACTGTAAGCAGACGGTGGCTAATTCTGTCTCAGAGGGGATTTTAATTAGTCAGAGATTTCCTCCCGTATGAAAGAGAGAACTCTTTATTTCCCGTGAATGAAAGCCACCACAGATCACCATAGACCGGGTTCTTCAGGAAAGCATGGCTATGTCCCATAAGAGGCACATGTGGTCCATGGGCAAAGGCAGAAGGCTTTACCTATGAGAAGGACTCAAAGGGCACCCCAATGCAGAATTAAAGACAATCAACTTACTGCTGCCAGGCTACAAGAAGCAGTACGAAGTTCTAGGAGGAAGAGGAATGTCGGAGGCCATCAACTGCATTGCGCCTATGCCCTCCAACCCGTTTGCTGGACTCTTGGGAATGGGTGGCCGACCCCAGGAGAATGGCAGCATTTCAGCTGGCACATGGTTGTTATCTTGATATGCTCCTCTGTATCTTCTGCTGCAGCTCACTATGAACTGCAGTTGCTTCCAAAGAGGAGCCCAGAAATGATTAATGGAAAACATTCTGCCTGCCTTCATTCTGCATTTGCTCCTTTCCTATTGCATTGCCACTTGCTGGCCTTGTCTACGCAGCTCTGCCGAGTTTCAACTCCCACCAGTAGCATTTTCCTTTTCCCTTTACGGTCTGTGCATTTTATGCTTTAAAACACGAATGCCTTCCAAGAAATGGTGTGCTTCCACATTAAAGTTATACTGTAGCATTTAGTTGTGGTTCATATTCATCGTGGAAATTAGATTTTTAAGATGCTGCTTTTCCTCGGGACCAAGCTTTTGCAGACACTTTCTCACTATGTCAAACAGATTAAATTATTCACAGATTAAATTATTGACAGATTAAATTTCACAGATTAAATTATTTAGTCTGACTAAATATCGTTGCTTCAGGTACCTACTGCTTTCAGAGGCTGCATAAATGCTGAAAGAACTGTTATGCACTTCTAAAAATTTATTTATTGCAGTCCACGTGCAATACTACAGCAACTTTGCAGAATACTTCTCATTTCTCATTAAGCTGCCAACTGGTTTGGAAGGCTTGGCTCTTTGTTATTAATGCATGGAGAAGTGTTTTCATGCACCTGGGTGCCCAAGCACTGCATACAGACCTCATGTCACCCGAAATCCATGAACACTGCCTGCATGTGGTACAAGATGCTGAGGAGAGCTGAGGACCAAGGTTCTTTTCTTACAAGCTTATCTCCTTTGAGTGCTGCAGAGCAGTGTGAAGATAAAAGCTTACTGCTTTTTAAAGATATGGCTGCTTAAAATGGCAGTAAAGTGGCCTCTTCCTGGATAACGCCAATTAAAGCCTTTACATCATTTTATTTTTTTTTTTAAATAAAAACAGCCTCTTTTACTATCTTTTACCTCTTTCAACAGCCACTTTTACTCCTCACCTCTTTTAATACTGTTGAAACTGGGAAAAGACATTTCTATTGAGAAGAAATGCATAGACATCACAGAATAGCTTGGGCTGGAAGAGACACCAAGGATCATCAAGTTTCACCTTCCCGTGCCGCAGGCAGGGCCACCAACCTCCAAATCTGATACTAGACCAGATTGCCCAGGGCCCCATCCAACATGGCCTTGAAGATCTCCAGAGATGGGGCATCCGCAGCACCCTGTTCCAGCACCTCGCTACTCTCTTTGTGAACAATTTTCCCACGACCTGATGTAAGCTTTTCCTCC